GTTACGAACATAGATGTGGAACAGTGGGCAGGGCAGTTGGTGTTTGACTAGAGTATATACAGTAGTTAGCTAGTCACTAAGTCCCCAGTAAGTATTATTATACAGTCAAGTGTGTGCTTACGTAAAGAGACACACCCAACAAGGGAGAAAATTGGGGAAGGTATTTCATAATAGCAAGTGTGTAATGCTTCAACTTGATTATCCTACAGTAAGCATTACTCAGCCCGCCTTTCCTACAAACAGGTTGGCTATATAATCAGGTTTTTGTTCATGTGATTGCATCATGAGTCATTTCATGTGAATATGTAAGTCATGTGGACACGCAACTGCTGGGCTACACCACTCTCCAGTGTATAACACTTGGTGGTGGCTAGACTGTAGCCATTAGTACAGAGGAGAACTGATAACGCGATGAGCTTGCACGGAGCAGCCAGTGTCTGATGCTATCTCCGAAGATGATTTGTGGTGTGCATGTGAGAGGAGATACCGTGGTGCAGTGGCTGGTCCATTGGTTGCTCTGTTTCTCTCATTCGACAGCTCATCAGGTAACCAAACTACTACCTACCAGCTGAGGTCTGTTAGCTAACCAGCTCAAATCTAGGTCAGGAGATTCAGACCAAGCATATTATACCACTGTAAAACCTTTTCCTAAGCAGTTTGCGTTGCTATCCCTATCTACAGACCCTGTTGATTTTTTGTGGCTTTTCGCAAGATAGAAAAACTAGTGCGAAAATTGGAACGCATTGTGCTACAACTATAGCTCAACATTTTATTGTGGCACGTTGTATATACAGTGTACTGTATGTGCTATATAAACCACGGATAAAAAATGCCACTCTCGAATAATACAACCCATAACATCAGTCAGCAGCCATGGAAAAGGGGAGAATGTGTGAAAATGGACCAGCAGTGTTTGCTGGAACATAGCACTTTTCACAAAAGACAAACAAAGCTCCTTGATGTGTAGCTATATACTCATTAGTGGAAGTATCCTTGACTGCAGCTTGGTCTTACTCCCTCTCATCTCTGGAATTCCTGGAGCTTGGCCCCTCCTCTGCCAACCTCACTGGATCCAACTCTGACCCCATCCCCATCTCCCTACCAAATGGCTTCCCTTTCTCCAATGAAACTGAGTCCACAGTTTTTGTAAGTTCACTAACCTACGTAGCCCTCACGGGGTTAGTTGTGCACGTGTATTTTTATGCGAAATAACTCGATGCAAGGGATATTAATTGTTTTATGTCATAGGTGAATGTCAATGGATTCCTGTCATTCAGAACAGCCAGAGACTATGGTTTTCCTCGTGGACTATTCAGCTCCACTTCTGACTATACTCATATCGTGGCTCCTTACTGGGCTCTGTATGATACTTTTCAACAAGGTTATGGTTGCTTAAATCATATTTAGCCAAGTCACACACCTTGTGCCACGGATTGTTTGTGACTTGGGTATACTGTGGATGTGCGAAAAAGTTAAATGTTGCTGCTTTGCAAATCAGTGAAATTGTTGTTCGGATTATTCAACAGTAATTAGCCAGTTTCACATAAGAGATCTGAATGTTAATTGCCAGTGACATTGACGGCAGGGGGACACATTACTGACATTTTAGGCTCCTACTTACAGTGTGCGTCATAACCAGGAGCTTACCACCACAGGCAAAGTGGCATATGAAGTACACACTACTGGAGATCTCCTGGACCAAGTCAACTGGGCAATGTCTCAGGAGCTGAATGCGACCTTGAAGGAGTGTGGCTGCTGGTGGTCTACTGGAACAACGTATACAGTCGTTCGGATAATCAGGTAACTTGTTACATTTGATGTACATTTTGAGCACTACCAATCACTAGCCCTAGTACTTGAGAGAGAGATGGCTAGCTGAAAGATGGCGGTAATTATTTGTTGGGTACAGGGGAAAGTCATAGCTGCCATGTATATATGCATGCATGTAGCTGGCTTTACTCACTCCCATGTACTTTCTGTGCAGGGGCTGCACATTGTTTAAGGCCAACACAACTTCCAAAGTATGGCCCAGGCTTGCAAAAAGACAGAGTACATTAATACCATCTTCAATGTTTGATTAAGCATGGTTGGGCAGGTTGAGGGGTCAATTGGCAAAGGGGACAGCGAAAAAGTGGCAAAAGAGGGATTGGATGGTAGACAGCGAAGAGTTGCAGAAAGACAGAGTATTGTCACTAGCTTGTCTTTTCTTCTACCGTTGTACCTACAATCATTGACACCCTGAAGTGATTAATAAATTTGTAGATAGGGATAGTTGCATAAGACACAGTACTGTTACACTATGAGGGAAGAGACATTTTTTCAAAAAGAAAAGGATCACGTATGACACTCTATCCCCTCTCACAGCCGAGCAGGTTCCAGGCAGTGTTGGTGACAGATGGCACCAAGTCTTACTGCCTATTCATCTATCACTGTGATTTTCTCCGGTTCTCTGGAGCTGCCGTTGGTTTCTCAGCCTCTGGTAACTTCTTCTTCAACCATAGACACTCTCGCTCGAGTGACTCCAAGGAGGTGGCCTGTAGCAACAGACCTGACAGTGACTGGAACACTCTGGTCTATGCCTTACACTATGACGGTATGAAGAAATAAAACTGTCCATGAAGCGTGACAGAGCGAGAGAGTGTGAGAGATAGAAAGAGAAAGAGGGAGGGGAGGGGAAGGGAGAGAGGGAGGAAGCTATGTGTACATCTTCCTTTCCTACATTGCCTGCCATACGATTGCCGGGACAGACAAACGACAATAGTGTTTACTTTCAACCATAATGAGCTAAGGGATCATTGCTAGCAACATATCAACCGTCAGAGCGATAGTAGGAGCATTATCTGCCATGCAGCTTCCATAACCATGACACATGAATCCTCAATAACTACTATTACCTCATACCATTGCAGGAGTGAGGCCATATGTTGTGACAACTCCTGAAGGTCCCGTCTTCCAAGTTGGCAAATATATTAAATATTCGTGCCTTGTCATGACCCCTGGTAGCTTCTCCTTCCGTTGGACACAGTACTGTCAGTCCACTGGTACTATGCAAGAATATCCAATATTTACTGATTCTGGACGATCAGTCACCATCATCTCAACTCCTTATCATTGGTGCATCGATGTATTTGAATGCACAGCATGGGATGATGCTGGTAGCACTGGCCAGGACAGATTGTTGATAGAAGTCACTGGTCAGTGAGACATTATACTTACCCCGTACCATAGCTACTAACCCCATTCCCAAATCTACCCCCGTTTCTCAGGGGTTGGACTAGTTGATTTCAACGATGGTGAAATGCAAAACAACACATCCATGGAGGCAGACTCGGCCCACCAATTTGGCACCGTGTACTGTCACTCTGCCTCCAACCAGCCCAACATTGGCAGGTGGATCAGTCCCAGTGGAGAGAGATTCCACCAGTTGGGAACCACATGTTCCAGGTCCAGTTCCACAGTGCCACCTACCACAGCTACACCTCTCTCTCCCTCAGATACGGTATATACATGGCATAGCCGCTATAACTGTGTTTGTGCATCATATTGCTTGGACCAACAGACCTGGATAATATGAGAGGCTTCTCCATAAGGCATGCATGGTGTATCATATCAGAACCCCTCTTATACAAAAGCAGAACGATGTGATATCATTGTAAAGAATGACAGCCTACGTACCTGAGGAAAGAAAGCAAGAAACACAAATCAAGTTGTTTCAAATGTAGCTAACCATACTTGCGCATGTGTACAGGCCATTCCTCACCATTCCTGTGAGTGTTGAGTGTGTGGCACTACCAGCCCTACCCCTACCTCTTTCTTCATTCCCGACCATGACTGAGTCTCACAACTCTGACAAATCTCCACGTGCACACACTATTCGAATGAGACTACGTATATTTCAGAGTCAACATCATAGCTTCAGTAACCGTATGCTATGCTCCAACAAGCACAAATTCAGTGTCTGTATAATATATAGACAGCCTCAAGTGTGCTCACAGTGTTACGTCCACACTCTGTATCACCAGGTGTCCAGTTCAGCAGAGAGGCAGAGGGAGTGTACAGTTGTATCATCCCTGATGAGAATGGAGTGGAGCAGATTCTTCATTTCGGTCTATATGACTATAATTTCACCTCTGGTGAGAGAACACTTGCAGCAAACAGGGGGTGTGAATTGTTCAGGCCACACGTCGTGGCCACAAAGGAACCGGGACAGTGGGACCACTTAGTTTCAACCTGCAGACACCTTCGTTGCAGCACGATTGTTATCTTGATTCCTTTAGAGCGCATCAGCTTCATTTATTTGTGCAATTAACCCAAGTAATCCATTAGTGCAAACAAGTAAATTGAGAGAACAATACTCGTAGCGGATGCACGCACTAACCACAGTTCCTATTGTCACCGTTGCACCTCAGCAGTGCTTTATAAACACCCACCTAGTTGCAATTGCGTATTATCATTTCGTAGCAATTCCACTTCCATTGCAGTCTGCGGTTGCGCATTTTGAACGGTGACCCTCTCGGCCACCGTAGTACCCTAGCAATGAAGGGAACAGTGGTGTCTATTTCACATGTCTTCCTGCAGTCTTTTCACTCCATCCTCTTTCTGTGAGAGTCATTTCTGAAGATCCCTTCATCATCTCCTGTGACTCCACCCACCTTCCTCCCTACCTGGTCCAGTGGTGGCAGGATGGCGACGTACTCGGTGAAGAACTCTCCTCTTCCCACCTCATCCACAGGGGAAACTCAACCTATGAGAATACTCTTTATCTTGCAACAGGCCACGGCACCACCTTCAAATGCATTGCGTTTGTGGCGGTTGATTTGAATTATGCTCCCTTCTTCAAAGCTAAATGTAAGCATATTAATATATATGGCTATGGTATACCAACCACTTGTCAAAAATTGGGCTTATAACCTGGGGAGAAAAATTATTATGGATTTCTAAGTATTATAAGATAATATATGATCTAAAGGTGTGCATTAAATTAAGCATGCACCCCTACTGAAAATATCTTCTTGTATAATCATAAAATTTACTTATTGGTGAGCAAAGCAAGCACTCCTAGTCGTCTGAATGCAAAATCTTTCTTACGGGCACTGGCACACATACTGTATGTTAGACGCCATTCTAGGTACGCGTGAAAATGCAATAAAAACAAAACAGCTCACTTTGCTCGGTAAACATGCATTGCATTCCTTTAGTTACAATCTATGAGCATTACTCTGGGGCCCCCAGATGAACATATTGCAGTGATCCAGCCTTTTGGGGGCCGCTGGGACATAACATGCTCCCCGGAGCCGACCCAACCAACCACAGCTCTTACATGGGCGACAGCAGCCGGACTGCTGTTAGAAAAGTCTTCCTATAACACGGTCCACTACTCGGCTCCAGCTGAGGTTTCGCAGGAGTTGGTCTGTTATGGATGGAGTGGAGATCAGGATAAGACGCCTCTACAGTTTGTCTCTCTTATAATACCAGGTAAATGTGTTCTGCATGCGGTTTTTTCCAGAGGTGCATGTGTTGAGACTATGTTCATTCCCACTCACTATTTGACAGACAAAACAATGTTAACCCCAGGTACAATTGTTGGGTTTACATCCACGACATATACTGGATCGGAGACAAGTGGGGATTTCGCAGTGTGTGTTGAGGTTTTGAACCCTCCTTCTGGTGGTGCTACCCAACCATTCAATGTTACCCTACTTCCCGCAGAAGGTTGGGTGTATTATATTAACTCATCAGTACATTATAGTTTAATTGTGTTTATTCCAGAAATTTCCAACCAACATCAGCAATGGGTGCAATGTAGCACAGTGTTTGAATTTGAACGAGGAACCTCTGTGGAGTGTGTTGACTGCAGCATCGCCCAAGATGATGAGTGTTACAACAGCACGTCCTTTGAACTGATCCTTGGTGTACCATCTACATACACACTCCATCCATCAAGATCTAGGACTAGAATCACTGTTGATGATAGCAGAGAGCCAGAATGTTGTAAGTGTTCTTGAAGAAACTACTGCTAGTCTAGTACCACAGGCACACACTCCTCAATTTTTTCAGCTATGAACTTCTCTAACAATCGGACAAAATGAGAGTCCATATTATTAGTCAAGTGTTTGTGCAAGAAAACCCCATAATATATATTTTAGAGGTGTCTTCATGGGGTACTGTGATAACTGTTTATAGTAAAGAAGCCTTGGCCCAGGCTTTCCAGCCTCCAATTCTTTTGTATAGTTTGCTGTTTCTATTGATGGCCAATCCATGATCTCACTGTTATAACTATGCTATTTGTAGGTAATATTATTCACCCACCCCCATGCAGTGTGTAGCTATGTTACGGAAATTGTCTTATCTCGTCTGCACACACCAACATAATTGGCTAGATGTGAGAGTTGGTTATGAGGACACAAGTTACACCATATCAGAACTGAGAGCTAATAAAGAGATTTGTGTCACCAGCTTGTCTCCCGGAATTGACGAAAGTTTCACCATCAATATTGCAACCAACTCCACACTCAGTAAAGATATCACGTTTTTCTTTTCTAATACACATAATTATATAAAATCATTATGTCTACAGATTCACTGGGTCTCTTTCAACAGACTTCAAGTAGCCTTCATTTTGTGGTCAGCTACCGGTTAAACCCATCTTTGAAAGCGTGCTATATGACCACTTTTGACTTTGACGTGGACGATATATGTGAGCGTTTCAAATGCAGTGAAATACAGCTGGAGTCAACACTGACCAAAGTCGATGAAACAGCTCGTGTGTATCTCAGTAGACCAACCGCTGTATTGGTTATTGAACTGCCAGAGAGGTGCAGATGTCTCCCAACTCCATCTAACGACAGTAGAGTTACTACCCTACAAGCCACCATTTCGTCACTAGCAGTTGTGATTTGTATAGCGGTGGCTGTGGTGTTTATCATGCTCTGCTACAGAAAGCGCAGAAAGACACACCTTGATCAGTGAGTCCTCACATCATCTCAGTATGCTTCATTTCATCAAACTTTACAGGTCTGTTTCTCGTGATAATCAGTCTGCTGCCCTCGGTAAGGTTTTTGCCACTGTGTAGCTATTTTCACTTTCACAGGATGTATTCCTCTCTACACGACAGAAGAGAGTGTTCCAAACTTATATTTCAACATTCCACTTCAGACTTCCAGAGCTACATGCCAAGGTTTGTGCGCCCTATTTGTGGTGCTGTGTCTCTTAGGATTGTTAAAGGGAATGTGGCAGTATGTAAGGGCTGAAATTAGAAGCTGTTACTGAAAACTAAAACTTAACTACTTTCTTGCACTGGGCCCTATTGTTTAGTTCTATCTTTAGTAACATTTCTAAATTTAGCCCTTATGTACTGACTCATTCCCTTTAAAGTCTACAGTCAAATTCATGTTCAAACAGAATACATTAAGTGACGATGCACACGCACACACACACACTCACAAATATATACACCGGCTGGTGCAAAAGTTCTTAAATGCTGTTAAGATTCTACTACAGCGATTCTTGGAGGTGTAATTCGGTGCTATATAGTGCACTGGACTTTCAGCCACACTTTGTGCATTTGACTCAGACAGACGTGATTGCCCTTGGGACCTGCATAAATTGAGTAATCACTAACGAAGAGTATTACAAGATGCCTCGCATGCACATTAATTTAGTAGCCTTCATTTAAATTTTCCTTTTTGGGAAAAGCAAATGTGCCAGTGGAGAATTGAATTCTTCTGTTGTGTGCATGTTAACAACTTGATAGGTATTATGGGAATCTTTTGTTTCAGTTGAGTCAGAGGTGGTCAATGCAGAGGAGTCCAGTAGTACAGGCGAAATTGACTATGAGAGCCGTTTTCTTTCCCCAAGACTACGAGAGCAGCTGAAGAAAAGGAGAATGATATTTTCAAAGAATCATATTGAGCTTTCAACTATCATTGGTCAAGGTTTGTGTATGTTTATGCACAATGCTGTAGAGTCCCCCTGAAACGAGGACACTTCTCTAATGAGGACACCTTCTGTATTATTTCACCAGAATAGTTCTTGTCAAAGGCTGAATAATGAACTCACTGATATAGATACTTTTCCATCCCATTGGTATCTAGGATCAACGGCATAGTACCTAAATTGACGTAAAACCTGCATGTTTCAGGGAAGTCAGGCCTGCTGGTCCACAGGGCATATTTGGAAACTCCAAGAGGGAAGGAACTGGTTGCTGTTAAAACTGTTAAGGGTAAGCCAATGGGCAAGTGTAACATAAACTAACGTCACTATTCCCTTTCTCTCAGCACTTTTCTCCAGGAATGACGTCAAGCGACTGGCAAAGGAGGTGTTTCACCATGTTTTCACTGAAGCACACTAACGTCATGTCTCTTCGGGGAGTGTGTGTTGCTGCAGAGAGCCCCCTACTAATCATGCCCTTTATGATCAATGGATCTGTCCTAGAGTTTGTCCAACACCATAAAGATGAACTTCTTTGCATTTCAACAGAGGCCAAGGTTTTAGTATTGTGTTCTAAAAGGGGTTTGAGAAAACCTCTATGGCTTACTCTAACAGGTGGAAATAGCCAGAGAAAGGCTGTTGAAAATCTGTCACCAAATTTCGAAGGGCATGGAGTACCTCTCCCTGCGGAATGTTGTTCATCGAGACCTGGGAGCGAGCAACTGCATGTATGAGCTGAAAATACTATTATTGAGAATCACTTTACACTACGTTCCAGGATTGACAATGATGGAGTGATCAAAGTGGCTGATTTTGGACTGGCAAAGAACATGCATGGCACCGACTACTTCCGTCAGGGGAAGGGAGAGGGTGAGGATGAGGAGGTGCCCATCAAGTGGATGGCTCCCGAGAGTCTGGAAGAAGACATCTACACTGAGGCCACTGACGTGGTTAGTGTACAATACACACCACGTGTACAGTGCTGTATCAGTATGAGATGTCTAGATACTAGAATGTAATCCAACCCAAATGGAATGGAACGCCAAGCATGCATGCTTACATTATAACTCTATGTGATGTTTATTGCAACAACGTGAGATAGAAATACAGCAACATAGTAACATTAAACATTAGTAAGGGGAAAATGGAGCCTTCCTTTACTTGCCAATCGTAACTTTAAGCATGGTTGGCTTGTCTCTTCTTCCACTGGTGTTCCTACAAAAATGCTGAATCAGCCCCTGAAGTATAATGAGTGATAGCCTCATAGATAGCTACTGTGTGAATTTGTCTCCAGTGGTCATTTGGAGTGACAGTATGGGAAGTGTTCACTTGTGGGAGGATCCCATACATTGATATCCCAGTCGTACATCTACTGGAGGCACTAAAGGGAGGACAGAGACTGGAGAAACCCCAGAATGAGGCCTGTATGGACGAAATGTAAGGAGCTTAATCGTTAGAGGGTCTCCCCTTTGATTTGAAATCAAGCATCTCTCCCAGTTTTATGTTTCATTTCAGAGGAAGTCATCATGGGTGCATAAGAATATGCATTTGTAGGCCAGTTAATTTCACAAATTCTCCAGTAATACTGTAACTGTGGGTGAAGTTAGTGGTATTGTGCTTGGATTATTACTTTTTGTCTCTACAGATATGACACAATGAGGAGTTGCTGGTCCCTGAAGCCCACGGATCGTCCAAAGTTCCTGGATTTGGTGGGCATGCTCGGTACTCTTCTGGAGAGGTCTTCTTGCATGTGTCAGACATCATCTGAACTGGACATGTCCCAGTTTCTTCACTCCAACATCCCTCTCTCTTCTCCACCTACTGCCCTTACTCCTCCTGTCATACAGGAACAAGATGCTGAGGACGAGGATGACGATGAAGCTGAGGATGAGTTTTGAAACGAGAATAATTCTGTAGATGCTGTACACTGATGGTCCTTCTTTGGACACCTATATAATATACTGTGTCATGTTCACTTTTGCCATGATATAATAGTGCCAACTTAAGGGAACGTGGTAGTATGTAAGGGCTAAACTGTTACTGAAAATAGAAACGTATCTTGCACTGGGCCCTATTGTTTAGTTTAACATTTCTACCCTTATGTACTGACACACTCCCTTTGAGAGACGTGACGTACCAGCAAAACAGCATCTGATACAGTAGCAGTGTGTGTCACTCCCCCTGAGGGGGTGTGGCAACATTCCTGATCACATCTTCTGCTACGTTGGACTTTGGTGATAGGGATTCTGAGGTCTCTGAGATCGCGTCCCTCTTTGAGTGAGGGTTTCAGTGGTATATTAAGTGGTAGCTAACCATGTGCGGTGGAATAGAGCTGGCAGGAGGCTAGATTGGTATTCACTCTCTATTAAAAAAAACTCACTGTAAGGTACTTTGCAGGTGTACTAGACTGCTGTTAAGATTATAGGGTAGGTTAAAAATTAATAGTGAGTTATACTGTATTACTGCATTGACAATGTTCTTGTAATCCGAGTCTCCTTTCGTGTTCTTGGGAGGTGCTTAATAGCTACTAAGTCTCATATATTTCCTCCACCACTTTTCCGACCATGTACTCCCCAGATGGAGTCCCAGGGCATTCAGAGCAGTGGGTGCAAAGTCCTTGTCTGTTGTGTATCCAGATATCTGGTATCCTTTCTTCACCTGAGGCTCCATGAACAGAGCTGGGATGTACATGCAGACTTGAGTAGGCTCTCCATGTCCATACATATACCTGACAACAGTCAATGGTGAAAAAGACTGATGCATAGCCTACTGATACACCAGACAACAAGCATTCTTTACTCACCCTCCGTGGTCTGCAGTCAACATGAACAGGGTTTTGTTGTATATCCCAGCTTTTTCAAATGCCCTCATGATCTCTCCAATTTACCCATCAACAGCCTGTGACAAAAGCAGACAAATTTAATCCAACATAATTTCATGGCCTATACCAGAGTGATTTATGTGACATTGACTGGTGTTTAGTATTGACCTCTTGTGAACTTCATACCTTAACAGCATGATAGTACTGAGCACTTCCCCAGGTAAAGGTATGTCCAGCGTCATCGATGCTGTCATGTGTATATTCCTTCAATTGCGACAACAACAACCTTGCCCTTGCCACTGGTGGGGGGGAGATGTGAGAGCGGGCCTAGAGAGTGGCCGTCTGGTGGCAGCCAGTAGTTTTCTGAAACACCAGACTCCTCAGGACCCATCCCAGTTATGATGGTAGCTGTGGTTTTATAGTAGTGACAATTATTATTCATCTCTCATAACTACTTAGCTATATATAGGCTTACCCCAGTTTGGAGCACTGACTGAGGGCATTTGATCCCTGGCTCTTGTTGTGTGAGCTCCATCAGTGTAAAACTTGTTGACATTGGGAAGGAAAGAAGTTGCATTCTCCAAGTACATTCCTCCTGTATCCATAATATCATGTAAATGCAATAGATACTGATGCATGACGAACTACACTCCGAAAATGCAGGTTACCGTAGTGCATACCATTACCAAATCCATCGCAGCCGAAAATGATGACGTGTTCGGCTGATCCAAACCCGCTCCTCTGGACACGAGGCAGCAGTGCCGAATTAGTGCTGCCCGTAAGATGCAGGATCAATGCCACCAGTGAAACAACTTGATACAGCATCTCGCAGTGTGTCGCTGGTCGTTGGCCGCATAATTATACTGCGCGCACCTCGCGTACACGTCCTTCTTAATGCGCATGCGCAATATGGAGATGTCATCGTAACGATTCATATTCTGTTAAAAAGTTAATGATGATTGTAACATCAGGATTTGACACAAATAACAGACACAACACAAATATGAGGCAAATATTATGACAAGGAACATTTTTGTTTGTCTGCCTCGACACACAGTCCTAGAGACACTCCCACCACCACTGCCTGTATATAGCAAGACACAATGTAGCACAGAATAATAGCAATTGAACACACTATGCTCTAGGTGAATAGAGGGTTACTTGCCTTGTTACTTCATTTAAGTTTTAAGACTAAGTTAACGAAACACTCTACACTGGAATTTGTCAATGGGATATGTGAAAGTGTTCTATTGGACTGACCAGTATGACAGAGAGGACAATGAGGAAGATGATGATTCTTTTCCTCCATCTCTTCCACCACTGACAGCACGACCTCCCATCTCTCAACAGAACATTGGACGACTAGAACAGAGAAGGTTAACTTAAAATGAGCGATCTCCAGTTCTCCACCCATTGTGTAATGTTATGTAGCTATTATACCTCATAGCTCTTGAGGCTCTCATTGTCAGACTCCAGCAGTTCTAATGGCTCCAGGTCCGTGTAGCCTGAGGTATCCACTGTGGCGTAAAACACATCCACACATATAATACTGACAATCACTCATAGCAATGCGTGTTTGGCAAGAACTTTAGTGCAGTTTTACTGAACGTGTGACAGCATCAGATTAACATTCTGATGGCTAAGGTAGGCTCACTTCACTCGCCAATTACTATACTGTGGCGTACTGCACGAAGGCCGCATATCGTACATTATAAGCTATATACCACGCGATGGAAATTAACATAGCTGTATGTACGTACTCAAAGTCTATAGACGTGATAAGGGAGGGGAGTTAATACCACTTTACACAAGCTACATCACCCACACAACAACAGTGCACAAAGTATTAATTAGTCTTGTTCGCAGGCTCCTCTCCCCCTCTCCATTTTTTGCGTATGACCTTTCACCTAGACAAAAGTGGAGAAGGAAAGATCATATGCACAAATTGTGCACTGTGCACACAGAGAGAGAGAGGGAAAGCCTGGGATAGAGGCCGACAAGGTATATACAGTGGAAATTGATATACCGAGGTCTCTGATGGCAATACTGTCCAGTTGAACACTTCCTCTGAAACCAACGTGGTGGAGTGCTGACTCTGAGTATGATTTCTATGGAGAGAAATACGAAATACAAAGACTAGCTGCACAGGAAAACAGTTGGTTCACAGCTGATGGCGCACAGCATGAACAATGTGACAAGAAGAATGCTCTAGTGTGTTCTACTCATGTCGTGTTGAAATACCATGTCAGTAGCCAACTCCTTGCTGAAGGCACTGTTGAGAGCATAGGGCTTGGCTGAGTGTATGCTATGCCCAAACTTGTGCTTACACCTACATGAACAAAGCAATCAACAAGTCACTTTTCTACATTGGCAACACAACACAGTATTTACTCTCTAAACTGATGGCAACATACCTATTCCTCTTTAGTGCGAAGAGAGTAAAACATGACATACTACGGGGAAAATCCTACCATCACCAATAGAGTTGTATTAACCCTTAATTTTAGATTGGAATATGTTCCCCCTGAAGGGGATGGGCTACTCCTAGCAGCAGTGCAAGGCTAGGGTAACCCGTGGAAGGGGCGAAGCAAGCTTCTCTCCACCTTCCCAGCTTCAAAAATTGCTGTAATATCGAGCAGACAGTGTCTGCATACCAGATATTACACTGGTAAGAACAGAATTTTCTAACTTGATCTTAGCCGATAGGCCGAGAAGCGATGAGGGAAGCTTTTTCGACACTGCTTATATCTGGAGACTTGCACCCAACACTTGTGGTTTTGTGACCACAGACAATGTGTTAATGATATTCATAACCAGCTTGCGTTACATTCCTCAACTTGAAAACACTGTAGTTGAGGATAGCCCCTTGTTCAAACCGTCCAGAACTTTGTATTGCCTGATAATCTTACTATGTAGTGAGTGAAGCGAGCCCACCCAGATCGTCGGAATTTTTTCTATTTTTTAAGACTCACTCTGCGCCACGACAATGTGCATGTGCGGAACATAATGTACAGCGGTTCAAAGGTAGCTTGGCTCGCTAAAAATGTATTGCATTCATTCCAGTAATGTAAGGATGAAAAACGCAAGGAGTTAGTTCGTAGCGTTGTGCATGCACAATGTACATTTACATATCTTGGAGGATCAGAGATAATGTGGTAGGGCTACAGCTACAAGTTAACAGATCATGGAGTATGTCATGCGTGGTTTACTTACTCCTGCGTGCTAAGTGCGGTAAAGCACAGTGGTTTGCCATTGTGTCGTAGATTTGAACCCCTACCAGCTAAGCTGCCCTGGTAGCCCAGTTGGTTGAGCGCTAACCGAGACTGGATAGTGTCACTTGGAAACAAAGAGCTGTCGTGGGTGTAGTTGATTTGTTTGTTGTGCCTTTGCCTTTCTACCTCGTAGTTTTCACCCTTTTATGCCTAGGTCATGCTAGCTGACCTCTCTAATGGTACTGCCCTACACTATGTGCTGCTGTGTTCCTATGGATGTCTTTTGTATATTCTTTTGATACCTTTTGATAACTTTTATACCGTCTCTGCCTGTTGTAGTCATTTCACTGCCATCGTGCATCAGCTCACGTGTTTTTGCAGGTCCCAAGTAAGCCCTTTTGGTTATTATGTGTGTTAATTGTAGCCATTCTGAAGTCCTGTTTTCTTTCTCTTTTTCCTCTATGTATATAGCGTGAGCTGTTCAGTATTGAATATGCACTGCTACGGAACGGAACAAGGCTGTATCGCAAGGTTGTAATGAACATCGAAACAAGCCAAAAATGTCTACTCAGTACTTGTATACTCCCAGAGCACGTGATACAGAATTAACATCCCGTAAGTAAGGTATTAAGATGGTCCACTACACACACATACAAAGAGAAGTGACACCATAACCAATAATTGCCAAACGAAACGATGGATACATACATGGCTTGAGACAAGGCTACCAAGTTGAGACCGTGATTCATCTGGTGATTTCCTGAATGATGCAATACAGCAAAAAGTATTTCCTAAACTTCTCCTGATGGGAGCTCTTTGATATTTATTTGGATTATGTTCCCCTGAAGGGGATGGGCTACTCCTAGCAGCAGTGCAAGGCTAGGGTAACCCGTGGAAGGGGCGAAGCAAGCTTCACTCCACCTTCCCAGCTTCAAAAATTGCTGTAATATCGAGCAGACAGTGTCTGCATACCAGATATTACACTGGTAAGAACAGAATTTTCTAACTTGATCTTAGCCGATAGGCCGAGAAGCGATGACAGAAACCTTTTCGACACTGCTTATATCTGGAGACTTGCACCCAACACTTGTGGTTTTGTGACCACAGACAATGTGTTAATGATATTCATAACCAGCTTGCGTTACATTCCTCAACTTGAAAACACTGTAGTTGAGGATAGCCCCTTGTTCAAACCGTCCAGAACTTTGTATTGCCTGATAATCTTACTATGTAGTGAGTGAAGCGAGCCCACCCAGATCGTCGGAATTTTTTCTATTTTTTAAGACTCACTCTGCGCCACGACAATGTGCATGTGCGGAACATAATGTACAGCGGTTCAAAGGTAGCTTGGCTCGCTAAAAATGTATTGCATTCATTCCAGTAATGTAAGGATGAAAAACGCAAGGAGTTAGTTCGTAGCGTTGTGCATGCACAATGTACATTTACATATCTTGGAGGATCAGAGATAATGTGGTAGGGCTACAGCTACAAGTTAACAGATCATGGAGTATGTCATGCGTGGTTTACTTACTCCTGCGTGCTAAGTGCGGTAAAGCACAGTGGTTTGCCATTGTGTCGTAGATTTGAACCCCTACCAGCTAAGCTGCCCTGGTAGCCCAGTTGGTTGAGCGCTAACCGAGACTGGATAGTGTCACTTGGAAACAAAGAGCTGTCGTGGGTGTAGTTGATTTGTTTGTTGTGCCTTTGCCTTTCTACCTCGTAGTTTTCACCCTTTTATGCCTAGGTCATGCTAGCTGACCTCTCTAATGGTACTGCCCTACACTATGTGCTGCTGTGTTCCTATGGATGTCTTTTGTATATTCTTTTGATACCTTTTGATAACTTTTATACCGTCTCTGCCTGTTGTAGTCATTTCACTGCCATCGTGCATCAGCTCACGTGTTTTTGCAGGTCCCAAGTAAGCCCTTTTGGTTATTATGTGTGTTAATTGTAGCCATTCTGAAGTCCTGTTTTCTTTCTCTTTTTCCTCTATGTATATAGCGTGAGCTGTTCAGTATTGAATATGCACTGCTACGGAACGGAACAAGGCTGTATCGCAAGGTTGTAATGAACATCGAAACAAGCCAAAAATGTCTACTCAGTACTTGTATACTCCCAGAGCACGTGATACAGAATTAACATCCCGTAAGTAAGGTATTAAGATGGTCCACTACACACACATACAAAGAGAAGTGACACCATAACCAATAATTGCCAAACGAAACGATGGATACATACATGGCTTGAGACAAGGCTACCAAGTTGAGACCGTGATTCATCTGGTGATTTCCTGAATGATGCAATACAGCAAAAAGTATTTCCTAAACTTCTCCTGATGGGAGCTCTTTGATATTTATTTGGATTATGTTCCCCTGAAGGGGATGGGCTACTCCTAGCAGCAGTGCAAGGCTAGGGTAACCCGTGGAAGGGGCGAAGCAAGCTTCACTCCACCTTCCCAGCTTCAAAAATTGCTGTAATATCGAGCAGACAGTGTCTGCATACCAGATATTACACTGGTAAGAACAGAATTTTCTAACTTGATCTTAGCCGATAGGCCGAGAAGCGATGACAGAAACCTTTTCGACACTGCTTATATCTGGAGACTTGCACCCAACACTTGTGGTTTTGTGACCACAGACAATGTGTTAATGATATTCATAACCAGCTTGCCGTACATTCCTAAGTTTGAGTGATATGTACTTTGCTGTTTGTTTTGTAGGAATAGAAATGCTCCTGTTCCAAAAACTTCCAGTGTGTTACTTTACAGTACTAGCTACAGGAAGTATCTATCAGCATAGAAATAATGTGTAGAGCTTTACATGGGGTGCTGCGTGAGTTGTCGTGTGTTGTACGACTATTGTTCTTACTTGATTTGGATGTGTTGTAGGAATAGAAATGCTCTTGATCTCTCAAACTCCTGCAGTAAGACAATGCAATAATGGATAGATCAGAAGTGTGCCTGTCAACGTTTTCCTTCCCCTACACATAAGTATACAGAGAGATGGACCTACGGTGAACTGTTTCGTCCATCCAGTGTATGTAAGTATATACCACCATTGCATAAAGCACACATTTTCTCAGCGTGTCCTCTATGTTGAGGTTCAATAGACATGTTTCAAAACTTGCCGCGTGATGGTATTTTGCACAAAACTCATGAGATCTCCCAAATGTGCCATAGTATGCACAGCTCTATGCAGGTCAAATGTCCACCGTGATTGTACACAAAGTTAGGAGAAATTTTGGGGATTTGCACATGATGTACTTTATCCTTCTATATACCAAAACACACTATAATCTGAAGTGACTTTGAAGGCTTTTGTAAGTAGGAGCAGCTCTACACTAATGTGGTGTTCACAGTGCTCCAGTGAGCATTGGGATTAATGAGGAGTGATGCGTCAGAGGAGGAGGGAATGTTCCAGCCGTGTGGTGAGGACACAGGGTGTCCTTTCACTGGCAGAGGTGTGTGCATCTGAGAACACACTTCTTCACTTACATCGTCTGTGATACACATGTAGACTACCCCCTCCTCACATATGTAGTGGTACATGTAGCTGTGTTAGGGAGGAGGGGGTGGGAGGAAAGAGGAGGGGTGGGAGGAAAGAGGTGGGGTAGTGAGGAGAGGGAGAGGGGGAGGGGAAGGAGAGTAAGAAAAAGGGGATGAGTTTAGCAAGATTATAAACAGGTCAATACGTCTTCACAAGCAACAAGTGTTCATGGTAGTCAGCGAGAAACTCACTCTCTAGTGGCATAAGTGAGTTTGCTGTTGATGTCGGTAGGCACCAGCTCCAGGACTTGCTGTGAGACCTCAGTGAAGTTCCCGTGGTGAGCTGCATACTGGGCTAGGATGATGGAGCCTCGGGCCACCACCGAGTAGATGATGCCTAGACTGGGGCACTGGGACTGGGACAGGTACCCATTCATCTCTCACTGCACAGAAACACAGACAGTAACGAAAAGCTCCTTCAGCTTTATCTTGATATAGTACAGTACAGTACAACAGTTTCCTATACACTTATTGTGACTGCTATCTAGCTAGTTAGCTGCTTACCTGACGATAGAGCTGAAAGCTAAAGATGGCTGTAGATCTGGACGAAAAGTCAGGACTAAGACACTTACAGAACCCACCCAGCACACAAACGGCTTCTCGGTACAGCGACTTGTTATCTCTCTCTAGCAGGGAGCACACATTATTTTAGTTGGCCAGTGAGTCTGTCAGGCTGATTACCCGGTCCTGCGCGTCGGAGCGAGCTTTTTGCCCACTCAGCAATAAACTTTAACCCTCCGAGTGTGCTGCATGCTCCAGCTAGCTCAGCAAGCAAGAGGCCATATTGCTTGCTACTTCTGTTGTTCAGGGCGGTGTTATATTCTCCAGCCTTTACAGGCCTCAGTGCACTGCTATTTGCCCAATATGACTGCCTCTGACCCATCCATAGAGAGGAGGTTGGAAATGGTAAGAACGCATCATCCCATCACACTCCTAACTTATATACCAATGTGTGCATGTATGTGTGTGTGTGTGCAGTTGTCCATGGACGACGTGGATGATGTGACGTGTGTGACGTTTGTCCTGCGAGGAGAGGACCACACACTAGGCAATGCCCTTAGATACATCATCATGAAAAAGTAAGTAGGATAAGAATGAACAATTGTTCTTTAAAAGAGGCTGAGCTAAAGAGGCCCTCGCCCTCTTCTTGCATAACATTGAGATGCACCTTCCTATCCTGCACAAATTATTGGGTTGGTTGGGCAGCCTTATAGTTGTACCTCATACATGAATTGCTAAAGCTGGTTGTCAAATTTATGTGATGACTGTATGTCTTGTATATACAGTCCTGAAGTTGAGTTCTGTGGCTATGCAGTTCCTCATCCTTCAGAGAACAAGATCAACCTCCGAATACAGACCAGAGGTATCTATGTTTTGACTCCCTCTTCCTCTCTCTCATCTCTTCTCCTTCCTCTCTTCCTTCATCGTCCTCTCTTTTCTTCGCCCTTTTTCTTGTTTTTGTCCTGTGAATCCTGGCAGCAAAATGTAAAATGCTCTGATTGTCTGAGCCACTCTGTTTCTCTCTCTGTGTGTGTGTATATATAATATATTATATATATATAATTATACTAGGTCAGCCAGCGGCTGAGGTTCTGAGGAAAGGACTGGAAGACCTGCACAGTCTCTGTGCCCATGTCCTCAAAACTTTCAAGGTGGGCCCTATTAATCTTCTCAGAGACACACACACACACCACTTTAAGTAGAGATTTTCTGTGCTAGCCATCTACCGAAGTATCATCATCAGGTCGTAGATTATACTTTTTATTTCGGACTCACTTTCGTACCGACTTGGCTCATTGGGACACCGTGCATGTTCTATGGACGTTTGGGTTGCATCATTGGTCTTCTCAAGGCAAAGTTTCAACCACAAGTGAAAATGCATGACGATTTCGGGGATCCCTGTGGAGAACACTCGCGTGTATATACAAAATTGCAGTTTTACGCATGGTCACATAGCAGTTCAGACGACTATTATAGGTAAGTTTGCTTCACTCGCCAATAATATAGTCCTCAGCTGCGGACGTTGCTTAGACCGGGTTAATTATGTCTGCCCCTGTAATCTGCCTCTCTACAGAGAGAAGTTAGGGCATTCAAGGAGCACCACCATCCATCATCGTCACTCAGTGACTGAATGATATGGACCTTCAACACCACTCCCAGCACAGTGCTCGTTTCAAGTTCGGATACTGTGAAAAAATCAGCTTAAAATTTCATTCATGTCTCAACTATTATAATCATTACAAATACAGGAAGGGTGATTAACTGACAAAAATAATGTATATAGTGGTATCCACAATAATACCATATAATATAATATTATAGCTCTTTCAGCTTTTATGTGATAAAAATTCCATGAGCATAAAAACAGAGGGTTCATAATGCAGTGCTACTATTGTCATGATATATAGTTTAGGCTCAGTGTGTGTGAGAGGATGTGGCGTAGGAGAACGGACTCAGTTGCAGTGACACCCTGTGGCAAGGGGTGGCTCTGTAGATACGAAACACCACCTGAATGGAGAGAGAGAGAGAGGTGAATATACAGTGGAACTTCCGATTAGGGACCCTCCGAGATAGGGACGGCCTCTCTACAAGGGACACTTGTTTAAACCCTGTGCTAATACCCTCCGAGTAAAGAATGTCTCTCTATAACAAAACACTGTGGTTTTGCCTACCTATACTAGGAAACTATATTACCAGGACTAATTTATTAAGGGTAAAGAATTACATGTGTGCCATGTCAGCACATTGTGTCATACAAACCACTGATGTGAGGTTGTAATAGTGTAGCGGAAAACTTGAGGAAGAAAACGATCATTGATAGAAAGGCTGTAATATTATATGTAGAAGACCTTACTAGTCCATACTCCAACTGTAGTCAAACTACTATATAAGCATAGTTGGTTTGTCTCTTCTTCCACTGAGGTGCGTATAAAAAAATGCAAAATCGTTTGACCCCTTTATTGTGGGGGGATTGATAAAGGCACAGCAACATGGAGGGAAAATAAGAATTGGTAAAGCGAGATAGGAATAGATGCAGCGAGATAGAGGACATTCCTATTCCATACTCCAACTGTAGTCGAACTACTAAGCATAGTTGGTTTGTCTCTTCTTTCACTGAGGTGCGTACTAATAATGCGAAATCGTTGACACCTTTATGGGGCGAGATAAGAATAGATGCAGCGAGATAGAGAGGCACAGCAAAAATACCCCATGAGATTGTCCACATGACGACAAGAGGGCTTACAGCCAAGGACGAATTACATACACTACAGTATACAGCCCTCACTGACCTCCACATAGGGGTAGTGAGGCTGGGAGTGTCCCTGGAAGGTGAAGTAAGACTGAGTGTCGAAATGGAGTCGGTAGAGTCCAGGGGAGAGCTGTGGCTGAGACAGCAGAGGAGAGCACTCACCATCTCCTCCTGTCACCCTGTATGTGTGTGTGTATGTGTGAGAGGTATATCAGTAATGATGCATGCATACAGTCATGTTTATTGTGATTATAATGGTGAAGTAAGTTGGTACATAGGAATAAGAGAGGTTTTCGCTGGTGGGGGAGCAGGAGCACTCTGTGATATGACACAAGGAGTATGACCTCTAAATCGACTTAATTTTTTTTGCACAAGCAATCAGTGTGCCTGCCATTGTCAGAAAAGAAGTGCTACTTTGCTTGCCAATTAGACTCTCATTGTTATTATAGTTACATGTAGCAACCTCATGGGTATAAGATTCTGTGAAGATGTATGTCACCTGCAAACTACACATAAGATTAGCTACCAGACCTTAGTTTCCACTTGCATGTGCAATGCAAACTAGACATGGGGGAGCTATGCATAGTTTATGATACTGCATACCTGAACTACACCTCGCGACAAATAGAGCTGTCCCCAGTGGGACTCAACCCACTCTAGGCTGAGTGCATACCTACTAACCATCCAGCTTTTTGCTCAAGCAGAGGTTCATCTGCAGGTTGGTAGGTATGTGAGTGAGGCTGAGTGCTCTGCCTCAGCAGGCACGGCCCTATACCTAGTATGTACACACGAGCATTGTCACCCTAACCCCCTCACTCGGATATGCCTTGATTATTAACTCATGTTGTGCAGAAATCCTAGATTCTCTTGAATAATTGATGAAATCCAGCTATAGCCCTCCTCCGCCCTTTCGCATAGGTCATTTCTGGTGATGGCCACTCCTTAATCCCAGTGTGTTTTAAGACCAAGCTGCAAGACAAGCTGTGTCCACAATGTACAGTGGAACCTCAAACTCTTGGTAATACAGTGTGCATATAATAGTCCATATTTCAGTGGTTATTGGGGAAAGAAAGGATGTCCTTATTAAAGAGATGATGCCCTCATTTCAAGGGTGTCCTTAGAGAGTGTTCCACTATACACACAAAGAGCAATAGAGAGGGTTCCACTGTATAAGCAGATGTAGCACCAGTACACGACTGTTTACGTATTACTCATTACGTAATCTTACCATGTCGTTCGTATAAAAAGTGTATGCACGTGGAAAATGATCAGATTTGAGACTCAGCCAGAGTCACTGAGAGAGACGAGCGTTGCCTAGCGCAAGGCTGGTCGTGCCACACATATACACGCGGTAAAGTGGGTTCCAACACAGTCGCCTGCAGTAGCTCCTTCAACTCACCCAGAGCCGAGGGTCATCCAGTCACCAGAGGAGCTCTGCCACATGCCCACCTCTACAGAGAGTCCTTCCGCCGGCCGGCCAGTGGTAGAGTCTGTCACGTGGACACCCAGCAGGGGAGGAACGGTAGAGGGAGAGGAGGACACCTGCAGATGGAGACAACCCTCAAACTACTTCTATCAGTAATCTTGCAACTTGGGCTCTAGATTCAGGGTTCATTGACGTAAAAGTATATGTGACGTCGAGAGTTGTGTGTCCCTGCCTCTTAATTTAGCATGAAGGCCCCGGCTGTCATTGCCAATATGCACCCCGGTCTAAAAGAGGTTCTGACGGCTTTTTCTGTGTTCTAGTGCGTATATATGTACAACTACTACCACGTTCTAGTAGGCAATGTGAACAGATATACGGCACGGTATGCTGCTCAGTGGAGTGGAGGAGGAAAACCATGCAGTATAGCTAATAGCAGACACATTACAGTAACTATACCTCCCAGTAGATTGATGCTAGCGGTGCTGTATATCGCACCACACGATGGAGTACATTCAGTGGAATGTCACTAGGTGAAGTAAGCTACAGATGGTATATACCAGTGGAATGTCGGAGTATCATGGCATGGGGCTGGATGTCACTCCAACTATTTTCTGACATTCCACTGAATCACTCCACCGTCTATTGGTATGCATGAAGCTGGCCAGAAGGGTATGCAAGAGGTGGGGCTGGTGGGATTATAAATACTTACTACGCACTTGTTTGTCCCTTTGGGTGGGTTCCACACCCAGTCTATGGTTCCGTATTGATACCAAAACGAATGTGTATAATACAATAGAGGGGAGTAAGCTACTGGTGTACTAAACCACATCTCACAATTTATTCTTCTAGTCCGAGTGTGTTGTAACACGATCTATTTGTGTGTGCACGACTATAATAGCAGTCCTGTGTATGCAGTATTGCTGCGTCAAACGTCTGATGTACTGTATATACCTGTACATACATTATACTGAGGTTGAATTACCTAGTGGGCTATGCACGCGTGTGCACATATATACCAAAATGCACACAAAGATTTCCGCCTGTATGTACACACACAGTGTGCAGTGTTTGCGGAGGGACGACGGGGGGGAGTAAAGGGGGTTTTGAGTGTTAGAGAAACACACAGGGAAGTGGGAGGTGGATCATAGTGCGGCCAGCGTAGAGGAGTATCCAAGAGATGTAGAAAATATGCACACGTGCATTTTTGTAGGGATGAAACAAATCAGCGTTCAATTGCTCGGGAGCTGTGAGGTCCAATAGGGCAAAGCTCGTTGCGGGGGGAGGTTATTAGGCGTATGGACACAAAGGGAGGGGGTGAGATTAGATGTGGAGACAGATAGGAGAATGGGTCGTTGGGGGGTATATTGGTTGTGTGGACACACTATGTGTGGGTGGTGGCCTGTCATGACATTCTGAGGAGTCCACTGTAGTATAGTGGAGTGCGTCTTAGAGATAATGCACGCCTACCAGCAATGATACACATGTAGTGTACGCTTACACAGAGTGCATATGCATAGCGAATGACAGTAGAGAAGGTAATAGATGGGTGCTAGAGTCGTCGATGATAGGCCATTGTGTTTCTGCACCTTGTGCGTGTGTATAGGTGTGTACATTTGACCCAAGTTGTTACTTGCAACCAACAATAACAGAAGAAGTAGTAACGACACACATACGCAGCACACACACGTAGACTGGCGTCATTAGAGTTACGTACGTGTAGCATGAGCTTTGTGGCTGTTTGTGTGCATTTACTTTGCTTGTACTTCACATGCTCCTAACAGGTACAGAGACACAAGGAGCGACATGTGAATGCATGATCTGGCCCAATCTGTATTGGTCCGTTTAGCTTTCCGGAAGATGTTTTGGGTTAATCTAAGGCCACCCCCCACCATCTTTGTTTCTCTTGAAAGTGATTTCTACTCTTTCTACTGTACGCATTCAGTGTTGGTCTTTCCTTGTTCTCCTTAGCCTATGTTTTTACTCACAACCTGCGGTGGCCTAAACATAATCATTCGCGATTACTGGAGGGGCAAAAATGGTGTGGGGGACGGAGTTTAAACATTGGATATTTGGACAGTGCAGACAGCTAAGTGAGTTACGCATTGTTACCTTTTGCCTAAGTTGCTGATTGTCGTTCTCGAGTGCTGCCATATGTGCCAACAGTGCACTTTGTACCACCACTGACACATCGTGACCCTCACCACCACCGGAACCTCCAGCTATTGCACCTGGTGGTCGGTTGGCATGCTCACCTCTCGTCACAGCTGGTACGTTAGCGTGGTCTGTGATTGATACGGCGTGACACGTCATTTGGACCGTGCGATCGACTCTCGACATAGTCAGAGCATGGGATGATGACGAAATGACGTTATTGACTCGCAGGAGGGGAGTCTCAGACGAGCCGGCATGTGAGGGGGACGCCCCTGAATCAGTACCGTGATAAACTGAGTTTTCACCTCTCAGCTCTTGGTGATCAACCAGGCCGTGATCCATTCCGTCATTGTGACTTCCCCTCTTGTGGTTGTGTGTGTTAGGCTCTGATAGGCCCTTCCCCGTCAAATCACTAGCCCCTGTCATTGGACTCTCATCAGTTCTGCTGGAGTCAGAGCTGGCCTCGTCAGTGGAGGGGCCTACCTCTGGCATGACCACCAGCTCGTGAACGTGGATCCCTCCTGGAGTACCGCCATGGTTGTGGTGATGGTGGTGGTGAGCTGACACTGGAACCACCCTGCCATACTGATGAAGGGGGTCCCTGGTGATTACTGTGATGGGTCCACCCACTAGGTGGTGGTTGGTGGAGAGGGAGGCAACGGGTAGCAACACTGGAGGAGCTCTGGCATGCAGGGGTTTTCGTTCCTCCGTGGAGCCAGAGCTAGTGGTGACTCTTGCCACTCCTGCGGTGGTGTTTATGACTGGGAGAGGATGGGATATGGCTCCGTGCGTGACCCGCAGTGCCAGAATACTGTTCAGGTGGTTGCTCCTCTTGCCCTGCCGGGCGGGAGACACTACGGCTCGAGACCCGTCCAGCTTGGCTCTCTTCCTAAGGGACCACATTGTGGCAAACTGGTCCTCTTGGTAGCTGTGCGGGGCGGCCTTTGGGTTCCCGTCGGGGAAGTGGCGGGAGCACACCCGCCAGTGCGCGCACCACTCCTCCTCAGTGACGTCGAAGGCTGCGAGCCACTGTCGCTTTCTCTCGACGCTGCTCGGGAGGCGGTGGAAGGAGACTCCTGGGTCTTTCATCGCTGAATTCCCGCATATGACGCAGTTGCTCGGCATAGCTTCCAGCCCCACACGCTCATTACACTCCTGGTGGTGTCTTGTTGGTAGCTCTGTCTGTTTCTCCGGAGCTGAGCGAAGCATTTTTACGGGGCTCGCTCGATCTACACCCCTAATTTATCCGCTAATTGGATTGACTACGCGCGTACCGCGCCTAACAAGAACACCGTCGAAGCGTGCGTGCTGTTCGGTTTTTGCTGGTTTAAGTTTACGTGTCCTTTCTACCTCTACAATGGCGGAAGGAATGGAAGTGGAGGCAGCTCCGGCAATTCGTGATAAGAAGAGATTTGAAGTGAAAAAGGTAGAGGATAATATACACACTTGCGTGCTCAGTTCTTATTAACGCCCCTCTCCCCTGTATTGTCTCCCTCCAGTGGAATGCAGTGGCTCTATGGGCATGGGGTGAGTCTGGCTGTTGGGGTATAGTGGTTTGCAAACAGTTCAGGCTTTGTTCTGTGTCCCCTGACCTCACCCTCTAAAATTGGGAAGGGGTCGTGGACAAGTTGCCCTATTTGTCTTTGACTGCAGCAACAAACAGCATTCACGTGTCATCCACAAAATTAATTGTGTGGCTTGTTCTGAATCGTGCTGAATGTCAAACTTTGATCGGAGCTCTGAATAGTGCTAGTAGCTATACACTGCTAGCTGGTGTGTGTTAACATCTGAATATCATTAGCCATTTGCTCACCAAGACCACAATCATTAGCGTGAGACTGTCAGGTTATAAACTTTGGTCCAAATTGCTACAATCACCGCTTCTTGGCCTATAGGCTAAGGTCAAGTTAGCTAGTAGTGTTTTGTTGGTTTGAAGTAGGTACGTACATGGTAGTGAGCTGAGCTACTAGTAGTGCAGTGATGTTCATATGCACTATAGTGTGTGTAGTGTGTATACCAGTGTACGAACAAGTCAGTTTGCCCATGCATGTTGCCCTGGTAGTGCAGTTGGTAGAGCGCTCGCCTGGGACGCAGAGTGTCGGTGGTTCTAATCCCACCCAGGGCAGCTCTTCTTTTTTCCTTGAAAAGAAAGAGCTGTCCTGGGTGTAGTTGCCTTGTTTGCCTTGCCTTTCTACCTCGATACCTTGTCGTTGACACATGCAGGTTTAAGCAAGGTTCTCAATAGCGTGTCCTAAAGACTAGTGACACGTACCTGTGTCTATCTTTCGATACACCCTCATTATGACCTGTTGCTAGTGTTGTGTTTGTAACCACCCTTTGATATTAGAAGCCTTCCAGCCTTAGCCTTTACACAGCACCCTTGTTACGCTCGGTATGCTGCAATACAAGGGCCTTTGGGCTTCAAAACGGTGTATATTTCACAGACTTGATGTGTAACTATTACTCAGAGCATGAGAAACCATCACAGGCCACAAACGGGGCTTAACAAGACTAGCAGTAATCATGTATCCCATGTCTCCAGAACACAGCTTACAAAGGATGTTTCCGTATTAGCCGTCCTTGATGGCTGGCATTCTTGTCCACCGCACTCTCAGAGCACATACATGATGTACAAGTAATTTGATCATTAGCTGCTGTCTTTTGCTCATCACTTAGAAAGACAGGCTTCACAGAGGCCAGCCACTCTAGTGTTGGATTAGTTCCCACAGAGTTCTGTGGAGGATGCAACTGACTTGTCCTCCAAGTGTCTTCGCCATGTCATCACTGCTGGCACTCTGGCTTGGCAGTGACTGGGAGCTTTGCCTGTGTCCCAATTTTCCCTCGGCACCCTCTGCAATTAGGGTATATTTATCCGTATTTAAGTAGTGCAATTTGGCTTCAGGTATATACAGTTACATATAGCATCCCTACACAGTTGGACTAGACCTGTGGGAGAGCTCCGTCTTCATCCAGACATTTTCGGGATCAAACCCTTTGCGTTTTCACCTCTTACACGTGCATGAGCTAAGAGGCCTAAGAACTACATATGTACTGTACTGACTATATACACAGATGAAGAAGACTGTGTGTGATTCTGCCGGCAATATAGAGACGCTTACGCAAACATGATCTACAGAGTTAGGTGGCACATCTTGCTTGCCTAGCACCATGGTCACTGATCACACACCCAGAACTCTGGGTAGAGCTAAAACAAGATGTGCTTATGCCTGTTGTATAGTTTACTGGGGTGGCCTACAGTACGGGGAGAAGAAAGCACCAGGAAACTATCTGTTGGTGCATACCTTGGCAACAGCTCAAGAGAGTAATGGTGTGCTCTGACACAAGCTTGCCCACACACAGATTACCACGTCGTGTGTATAATTTGAGCACAGCTGGCAACTACTGTACCTGCACCACACTGCGAAGCTTTTACAGTGAAGATTGTGAGAGACAGGCTGACCTAGATGTGTATAGCCTGGCTCTCGTGTTATGCTGGTCGGTATTGTATTAGGTGGTATGGAAGCACGCGAGGTAAAAAAGATATGCAGTTCGATAATGACTGTGGGTCAATTTTGAAGCTAATTGCTTCCACATTGGCTGCACCTTGTCATCGCATCATATGCATCGTATCACCCACAGAAGTTTGGAGGTAAACAGGACAACCTATATTTTGGCAAGCGCATCATTAAAGCTCTGTATTAATGATGCAAATGGGATGGCGTAATTTGGCGGCACACATACAGGAATCCTCCAGAATACCTGGACTATTTCTGGGAAGCAATCGATTGGTGTTTGCCCTCCAAAGTGGGCTAATAGCACCCACCAACCAAATGGAGTGCTGCACTCCTGTGAGTGAGTATCCATGACAATCTCTCTAAGTACAAAGAGTTGTGCTACAAGACAACAACATGACTTAAAAGCCAAGTGAACCCGTCTTGCACAATCTGACTGGCTTTACATCTTTTCCGTGCTAACACCCGTACATATACAGGAGTCACATGGTGGTGTTACTGTATCATCTGGGTTCACAACATGTGCAGGATATTATTTAATCCCCCCTTACCCTTGTGAAAATACCGCTTCTCGGCCTATCGGCTAAGATTAAGTTAGAAATTTCTGTTCTTACCAGTGTAATATCTGGTATGCAGACACTGTCTGCTCGATATTACAGCAATTTTTGAAGCTGGGAAGGTGGAGTGAAGCTTGCTTCGCCCCTTCCACGGGTTACCCTAGCCTTGCACTGCTGCTAGGAGTAGCCCATCCCCTTCTGGGGAACTCCCTTAACACCTAATATAACCCATCAATGCAACTTGAGACTGGTGCCCGTAATAGTGTGAACATGCCTGTAAGTAAGTCTGTTGTAAACACTTCTTAACAGCTTCAATTGAGGAGTGCTAGCTTCCATTTTAGGCTGTTACTCCTCTGCCTGTGAGCTGCCTGGTTAACGAAAGTGCCCATGGCTTTGATGAAGTCACGGTTTCACTCTATGTTGGTTGTTGTAAGTGCTGCCGTGGATAGCTTGGTTTTATGTATGCCACAGAATGTGTATTAATAGCTGTCGTGTCTCAATAACCCAGATATTGTGGTAGACAACTGTGCCATCTGCAGGAACCACATTATGGACCTCTGTGAGTTTCATCTCTGGGATTTATGTTTTACAGTATAATAGTGTACCAAGATACTTGGCATTCGATATTTTAGATGTGGAACTGACTATTATAGAAATTGTACTTTGGGCAGTGTTCAGATTTCAAAAGGTATCCGTATGTCATTATGCTGATGGTGCTCTCCCCGTGAAACATGTCTCCATCCTGCAGTATAATTCCCCTCATCTGTGGTTGTTGCGATGTAATAAACCAGCTGTTGTGGTGTTGTGGTGTCCAGGTATAGAATGCCAGGCCAACCAGGCCTCTGCCACCAGCGAAGAGTGCACCGTGGCCTGGGGCGTCTGCAACCACGCCTTCCACTTCCACTGCATCTCCCGCTGGCTCAAGACACGGCAGGTCTGCCCTCTCGACAACCGAGAGTGGGAGTTCCACAAGTGAGAACCTACCTACACCTTCATGCACCACTCTTCATCTACAGAGACATGTCCATAGGGAATGTGCACTCATTGTATGTGTGTGTACTGCACATTCCCTATGGACACGGCTGTATGTATATTTGTTGGATATCCCTAGGAAACTGACATGTATGAACCCTTCTTGCACATGTAGGATTGTATAGGCTGATAAAATCCCCCAATACCTAGCTTCAAACATGTCGGTTGCCTAGTGATATCCAACAAGTATATGTTGCAGTGCCCAGACAGGACAGCATTCCCCCTTACAGGGCTCATGCTGTCCTGTCTGGGTACTGCAACAGATTTGTTGGATATCCCTAGGCAAATGGCCCTGCTTGCACATGTAAGATTGTATAGGCTGATACAATCCCCCAGTACCTAGCTTTATACATGTAGGTTGCCTAGGGATATCCAACAAATACACACACAATCTATAGGAGTGAAGTAATAGTGACATAGTATCACCTTGAACTAGACTGGTTGCATGCAGATGGCGGTCAAGATACTTGGCATTCGATATTTTAGATGCGGAACTAGAAATTGTACTTTGGGCAGTGTTCAGATTTCAACTCAACTCTCCTACTATTGGGACTTTTTTACAAATTTTTTAATGATGCTATGCAGACAATGTGTGTACGTATGTAGGTCGAATCGTTTATACTGTATCAGCTAGCTTCCTGTAGTGGCAGACTGAGTGTGATGTGGACACATACACACTGTATGTGGTGTTTATTATGGAGCCTGTGGTCACACTTTAGAAAGCACGCAGTCACACAGCTCGCTAGATACACTGTCATCAAATACTTGCTCCACTGCCCTTCACTCTCTATTCAATGGAAGCCACTTCTACCATTCTGTTTCACGCTTTGAAAATTAATTGGTCATGGAGAAGCTGGACACACATGTACCGTTTATGAGTTTGTGCACGAATCTAAGCATGCCATTTTGCTATTGCACGACAAAATCAGCAAGTTATTTTGGTATTAAGCCTATTGAAAGACTCAAAGTAAGCGATTTTTCACGATGCATTCAGTATAATTATACATGGCCGTCTCTTTTGTCTCCAGGTACGGTCGCTGATCACAGACACAGACACTTTGGCTGCGGAACTAAGCAGCATTGAAACAATATCCTCTAGGAATGCACTGTTAAAACAATAACACATGACACCTCTTGAAAAACTTTCTTCAACCTAAAAATATACCACAAATATCACAATAAATTTCTATCTGTTGCACGTGTGCATATGTACATGCGCGTGCGTGTGTGTCTTCTGTTAATTCCTAAGCCCCACACCCCAACTAATCTGCGTGTCCAATAGGAGTTGTGGGCCCCTATAAGCATGTGGTGGTGATTGAATTGAAAGGTTGGTTCGTTAGGCCTGGTAAATGGGGGGTTGGAACTCCATGACTGGTCTCTGGAAGGTTTCACTGGTTGATATGTGTTTGTTGAGGACGCTGAATATCTGGTCGTTGAGTGCCTTGTACACACGAATACGCTCCACCATCTTTTTCAGTGACTGCATCGTGGGAATGAGGGAGAGAGGAATAGGAGACGAGGGAGTGGGTGAAAGGAGGGGTGGAGAGCGAGCGTGAGAGAGAAGAGGGGGAGGGTTAGTAAAATACACACTCCCAAGCATGTGACAGCTGACAGTTGCGGGACTTATGCAGCAGTGGTTGTAAAAGTCTAGAAATGTGGGCGGATAACAAAACTGTTATCAAAACTCACCTCCAGCATGTAAAGACACCAACGTCTATTATCGCTAGTGATAAGCATAGACAGACTGCGGTAAAACGCCCCTTTTTGTGGACGACACTACACTGTTAGTTTTTGACAGTGACAGCAATGGAGATAGGCAAAGCTCAAAGGCGAACACTACTAAACCAAGGAAAAAGAGCTGTCTTGAACCCACTACACCCTAAGCATTACTATTGTGCCTCCCAATGTGTATATACCTTCGAATGGAGCACTGAGGGATGCAAAGGCAAGTGTATAGCACCTCGGCACGCATGCGTAGCGAGGGTTATAGTAGTTGGTTTGTCTGTGTGTCGCTGCCACTATATACAAGCGGCCTATTAGCGATACCAGTGGCTACAGAACTACGCGAGCCTGAAAAATAAAACGGGCGATTAAGCCAATATGAATTATCGCACTGGGCTTACCTGATCCGCTCGTTCTGTGTACCTTGGAGGTTCAAGAAGTCACAACGAAGGGCGTTTATCGACTCCCGCATGCTATCTATTACTGTAGCTAGCCTGTGTCAGACTCTCCGCGAGCTACACTAGCGTGAAGATCATGAGAGTAAATGCATACTCTTGGCCCAAAACATCAATTAGCGGTACCACACATGCACAGTTCCCCGAGGGTTTGCACTTTAGTGCTTTTCATTATGGTATGAATTGTGCATCTTTTAGTTAGCCCTTGTCTGTGCTCTTACATGTCTAGTACATGAACCCATGTGTGCCGAGGGTTAATAATTGTTGAAGCATAAGCCTGTAGTTAACAGATTATGATGCTGTCAAAACAGGCAACTAACTACACAAGAGGGTGTACTGACCGAAGCTCCTTGCTGGATCTCAACGTCCTGTCGGTCCACGTTATGCACTCTCATCATGTGGTAGCAGAAGTCAAAGGCGTCGAATCGTTTCTGTTGTCCCAGCAGAGCTATGATGGTACAGCCGGCCCACTGGAGCCCCTCCCCGCACCACTCTCTGAGTACAACACACACACAGACAGACAACAGACATACCAGGTGAACACCACCAAGTGGGAAGACGGAATGAATGGGAGAAATACACAGGTCAGGGAAGGAAAGACAAAGAGAATGACCTGGCCTGTGTATTTCTTCCATCTAGATCCAACTAAGAACACACCTAATGACAAATTACAACATACGAAGCGAGGGGTCAATATTGTAATTTAAAAATGCAGCTTGAAGCCTCATTCACCTCCAGTTACCGTAGGGAAAATACTGCTCTTTAATTTTGGATTAAACATCTTCTGGATCCCCAAATGTAAAAGAGCTATTTTTTGTTGCATATTATGCACTGTGTGTTATTTGAGGGGGTTTGGGTCCCAATAGAGTGGGTGAAAGCAAGGAGTGAAGACCTGAGGCGAGTGCCGTGGACTCACTCGATGGTGATGTGTCCTGCGGCAGCCGGATGGCAGTAGGCAAACTGAATGGCGCTCCACAGCCGATAGAACTCCTGGCACTCGTCCACGTTCATCACCCCGTTGATTGGAGGGGGCCCCATCCACAGGTCCCGGTCCTTCATGAGTATGTCACGCATTCGGCGGAGGACCACCTCGAACATGCTGAGGGCCCGGCAGAGTCTCTCCTTGGTGAGCAGGTCGCTGTCCCTGGCGTTGGCCAGCTGCTGGTGGGTCCCGTGTTTGGAGACCATGGACACCAGGTGGAGGGGAGCATAGAGCTGGTCCATGTGCTGCATGACTGTCTCCGCACTCTGGTCCTCTGCGGGCCACACATGAGGAGGGAGGAGGAGTTCGTGTTACATAATGTTATACAAGATTGAGGGGGTGAAGGTATATATATACACAGTCCACCCTCGCTTATTCTTGGGAAAGAAGTAAGGCGAGATGACCGAAGCAGTGAATACGTAACCACTATTGTCAGTTGGGACTCTCTAAGCAGTGCAGTAGGCTCCTACTTCAACATGTACATTGCTGCTCACATGCATGTTGGGAAAGGCACTATATGTACGTGTAGGTTTGCACTAGTCCATTATTGCACACTCAAATTCATGTTATGTTATGTGATGTCATGCATGTGTATAACTAGTGGTTAAGTAAGTACATAATGCGTAGACAGCACTAACCAGTGGGGACCTAATATACACTAGATTGTGGTAATCAGTAAACTAGAGATGCACAAAGACAAGCACAACATCGACACACCTTTGACAAACGGTCTTGGGTACATGTTCTGGAAAGGAGCGGCTTGTAGTAGGTCCATGACCTCTTCCTGACCCTGTGTCCAGAGCAATTTACATCCGGTTAATATTGTACTAGTCGTGTACATACATTTACAGGCAATATTATAGAAAACTATTAGCTGCTCATCCAAGGGATGACTGTTCTGTAGAGTCTGTAGAGGCGAGGGATGGCTGAGGCGACCACACCCCTTCATTCAGCTCCCAGTGGCAAGCGAGACCGCGGCCGCGACACACCGACCGGTCAAACGGCCCAGCGACCTATGAAACGAGTTTCTCTGAGGGAGAAAGAGCCACCATCACGACCTTGTTCGATTACGGTAGCCTCGACAACAGAGAACTCGCTCGAGAAGCCAGCGAGTGCACACGTGCGCACGGGTAGTAGGCTACGCAGTTGTAGTTCTCTCGCTGGAGGTCGACGACTGCTAAAAAGTCACAATAAAACACATAATGTGTGTCCTATCGTTCTATACATGACTTATGGGAACTCGGGTTGTGGTCTCGAGACCGATACAGCACTCGGCCTGTATGAGTCTCTCGACCACACCCCTCGCTCCCATAAATCACGTATAGAACTCGTATAGAACTCTAAACGCACATTGTCTCTTACATACCGGGGTGCTACTCTTTATCAGAACAGGCCCAGAGGGGGGTTTGTTTTTGTATTATTCCTACTTTAGGAGGAGAGGGGGGGTTTACTTTGGCTTTGAATCACCATGTTTTCTTAAATCTATTCGTGCGGTCTGCTTCGAGTACCTTTAGCCCGTGGGTGACCGGTACTGGTCTCGCTAGCATGCGCCTTACTATCTTTAAGACAACTTTGGTTTGTACATTGTTACTGGGAGACTAGTAGTGTACTGTACATAGACCGTTATTGTGGCGAAGTCTGAAGTCGCTAACAGTCGGGGCAGTTTAGGTACGCTAGGTGTTAACAGGCACTAGATCGATCTGAGTAACCAGTCAACGAGTAAAGGGTTGCGGTTTGGGAGGTTACAGGGGAGGGCGGGAGGGAAAGGGGAAATTGGGTTGGGGGGGAAGGAGTAAAATTTGTTTTTGTTGTTTTGGTTTTTGTGGGGGGGGTGGGGGGGGTGGGGGGTGGTGGTGGTGGGGGGGGAGATCCCCCACATCCCTACAACAGCTAGCTTGTTGCACTATGAATTACAGTAATAGCAGTGGAATTTCAATCGAAAGGTCAATGTATCTCTCATGAGCAAGTATATGGAGTGTGTGACCTTATAACGGTTTTTATAGGTGGTTTTGCACTTGCACAGTGTTTGGTGTGACTTGCAGCTTTGGACTTGCATATGAACACTGTATATAATAGCAGTTTGTGAGGCAGAGATGAACTAGCTGACCTGTGTACTGGTTTTGGCACATGCACAGTGACTCAGAGCTTTGGACTTGCATATGAACACTGGGGTATACAGCAGTATGTTGTACAATGTGAGGGAGATGAAAGGAAGGTCTGGTAGTACAGTAAAGCTGACCTGTGTACTGGAGAGGCCGATGCATCTGCGAGGGACCTCGAGATGGAACCCGGACTTGGGATCCTTCTCTCCTCTCAGAGCAGGGTCATCGTTTCTCTCCTTCCCGTCCAGCCAGTCGATGCACACGTCTCGGATGGCCAGCAGGATTCTGGGACAATATGTAGACAGGGACACTCTATGAAACTAAGAACATTGTCGACCACGTACACTACTATATATAGCACGGGGGGTTTTTAACAGAGAAAATTTACACGCCTTGCATGACACAGACGTGCAAATAATTACGCAAAATGAATTGCGTAATGCACACATTGTGCAGCACACGGAACAATACATTTTAGCCACATCTATGGTACTTACACACAAAACTGCTCGCAGCAACGACAGTGTGTACAGTGGCTTACGTCTTGGTCTGTAGTTTCTTTCCCTTGACGGCCTTCCTGATGCTGTCTCTGATAGACACCTGGACAAACCTCTGGACCAAATAGTAGATGTGGTGTCGAATCCCGGCCGAGAGGTGGTGCTCCATGCGGTGCATCAGGAGGGACAACCCTTTAATCATCCCAATCACCTCCACCAACGCATACTTCTCCTCACTTGAGTAGTTGTACCTCGTGGCCTAGTGGAGGAGGTTGAGGAGTCGACAATAAGTGTACCTCCACTCCACCATTACTTCCTTCCCTTGATATTCGTAATCAGATTAGAGTTCTGTGTTCTGTGTAGTGACTTAAACTACTTCCAAATACCTCACAGATTGCTAAACGCTAAGCATAGGCATCTCCCCCATCAAACTACAAATCCTGTATAACATACAACTTTAAGATCACAGTTGCAGTACAAGCTCATAACAACGGTACAACGCTATCGACACCGCGGGTTAATAAAGTCAAATGCAGTAGGATGTTTTGGCCCCAAAAGGCTTTCCTCAGCTCTATAATTACACTGACGTACATGCTGTTGAAAAACCTCCTATTAATACAGCTGTGTGTACAGTAGGATGCTGGGTCCAAGAAGGGTTTCTTACCCGTTCGTAGGCCTCTGCATTCTTGGGGCACTCTTTGTTGTCATATTCGTTGGTAGGGTGAAGTAACTTCCACGAATACTGTACAACACAGATAACATATCATACAATAGCTACACTGATTCCCCTAACAACACTAGCTATCCCTCCTACAAATACAGCACCCTCACGAACAAGGTTACAATACACAGAAGAGAAAAAGGCTCCAGGCGACACGTTAGTACGTATTCACGTGTGAAAATGTGTTTAATCTTGGAGTACAGTTGAACTTAGCTGTATTCCAGCCATGCTTGGGACCTGGAAAAGTGGCTGGATTAGTGAGGTGGTAATAATATTATCTAGCATGTATGTAAGAAAGTGTATTGGGTGTACACACCAGTTCCATGACAGCGGTGGTCCAATTAGTGAGGAGTTTGATTCCCTGAGAGGCCATGTCTGTGAGGTGGGCCGCTGTCTGGTCATTGAGAGAGAACTCCCACTAGTTATGATCTGGGGGGGAGGAGAATGGAGGAGGAGGAGGGGAGAGAGAGGGGGGAAGGGAGGGAGGGAGAAAGGGAAGGAGGGAGAGTGATCGAGGGAGCACGTGCAGAAGAATGGACTGAAAATCGCTGGAAACAAGAACTCTATCACTTTGCTACACTTGGCACTCAGTGAATAACGTAAGTGTAGAGGTTAATAGGACAACAGATGATTATCAGCTGAGTCCCCACTAAACTAACAGCAACTAGCCACATTGTCATCAAAAGCCATAAAGTTCAACACTAAAGTTCAAAAGTGCAAAAAAGAACCCCATACATGGCATTACATGTGCTGAAAGAGGCACTTCTAACTTAAGAGGGTATATAAACTGTATATAGCCAAAAAATTGTCCACTATGGTGCCATACAGTAGGAACATTTTTGATGTACATACTGTACAACCACGCATAATCCCAGATGAATCTATTACTAACCACCATGCTGTACTAGTGGTGTGTATACCTCATTGTTGTATCTGGCGAGGTCAGAGATGAAGCGGACGTGGTCGGAGCGGATGGTCTCCACCCGTGACTGGATGGCGACCGTGGCCCTCTCCTCCATGTGCTCCGTGGTGCACGTCCACTTGGACGGGTCGTAGTGAACCAGCTGCCGCACCCAGTCCGCAAACCGAATCTGGACGTCTCCGTACAGTGGGGCCACTGGCAGTTGCTGCACACACACACACACATACAGTGGAACATTGAGCACATGGCAGGAAAAGTGGGTTAAATTTTGTTATAGCTAAATTACAACCGTACATACAATGATCTTGGATTTCCCCCCCCCACTACACACCTATATATGTAACGTAGCAGTGTTAAGCCAATAGTGTGGCCAAAATTTTATCTGGTGAGTAAATCAACGTTTTAGGACTCAGCGGATGTCTGAATGAAGCTATGTGAGAAGTTAGTGTAGTGTTATACCACTGCACTAAATCTCTATCACGGGCATCATTGGATGAAAGTAAAATTAAACCTTCACAGCCAACAGTTAAACAGACACAGGTATACAGTTGTCACTATCACTCCAATCACATGTACTATGGTACAGTGTGTATCGAAGAGAGCAGTTGAACGTACTCTGAATAGACGGTCGATTCTTGAGAGGACCAGTTTTTTCTGCAGTTTGTTGATATTGACGACATTCCCGTCCAGTAGCACCAGACCATAGCCAACCGCCTGGTGAGAGAAAACCAGTCAGTGTATGGTTGGCCTCTGTACATGCATAGTATAATGTTGGTCTCACGCATCAGGCCGATGCAACAAGAAAGTGCTGCAGTATGTATTATGATGAGATATTATGTAAGTTCATGATCATTCAGAATCTTTTCCATGATGCAATGTGTGTCACATATTGAGAAAAGAATCTGGTGTGGCTGTAATCAGTAGCGTGCTAAAGACCAACCTTGATGAGCATGTACTTTTCCTTGGGGACCATGTACACGTGCTGCTCAAAGTATTGGCAACAGAGGTTCATGGTCTCCACCAGTATGTCCTCATATCCACTGACCTAATAGAGGATATAGGGGAAGGAGGGAGGGAGAGAGAGAGAGAGAGAGAGAGAGAGAGTGTGTGGTGTGTGTGTGCATGTATGAGATATAGAGGTAGGAAGGGCAGGAAGTGAAGGAACCAATGAGGGGAACAGGGCATACATACATATACCAAAGGTGAGTGTATAAGGCCAACCATACAACACACAGGCATGTAAGGGGAGCCAGGGATGGATGTATTAGTTGGTGCAGACATTCTTTCAAAGGGTGTGTCGGATAAACTGCCCTCACCACTACACATCCATAGCAGTTCCTGTGCAGTGTTTGCAGTGAGGGCCTTTGGGGCCCTTCTGGGAGTACCCTGACCCTGTCCTCTGTATGTCAACACTACATGTCCACACCCGAACTAAGGACAGTTTGCTAGAATAAACACCACCGTCATCAAAGGACTCAGTTCAGGGGCTAAACAATCACAGCCCGCTGTACAAATAGTGTTAGGCGTAAACACTAGTGGGACTAACGAGTCCCAAACGAGAGGGACTGACTAGCCATTACAGTGGAACCCCTCTAATTCGGGAATCCAATAGGACAGAATAAAGTGAGCATGTAAGATTTCATGACTTGGGGAAAGAAGGGGTGTGCTTATTAGAGAGGTGTCCTCATTTCAAGGGCATCCTTAAAGAGGGGTTTCATGAATGTATCATTGGCACAAAGAGCATAGCTACAGAGGCTGTCCCGTTGCCCAGACAACAAGTGATTATTGATAAACACTGCTGGGGTCCATTGACCGGAATTCACGACCTGAGCCAGTTTCATGTTTTGGCTTCAGCAAGGAAATTGGTCGATGCATTGCCAGTCCAGTGCACACACAGAATTGATGTCAGTGACACTGAATTTATGGTGGTTGCACCTCTCAATGTCAACCACCTGCAACATCTGATGACTGGAATTATTCAGCTCTTCTTCCATCACATATTCTTTAACCCTCTTTCCCCTTCTTATCTTAGACTACTAGGTACGTACGTATACCTTCTCCCTCTTCGTCAGCAATTCTAAGTCCAGCATGCCTATAGCAACAGCCATTTGCGGTTCTGAACCTGATACTTGGTTCGTGTACGCTACAGTACTTGCATCTGTGTACAGGACTAAACGTAGGTTGTTGCAGGCTGTGATGGAATGGCAATTAGATCATAGAATTTGGGTTCACAATTAATTGCAAATTTGGATTTGTCGCCTAGGGTTCAAATCCCACCCAGGGAAGCTCTTCTTTTTTCCATAAGAGCTGTCCTGGGTGTAGTTGACTTGTTGCTTTGCCTTTGCCTTTCTGCCTTGTAGTTGACACATTCAAAACACTAATGTACAGGTATATACAGTCTGTATGTACATACATACCTCTTCCAGTTGTTTCTTGAGGTGAGAGGTGACACTGTTATTGGTGGCAAAGAAGATGGACAGGTTCTGGGATTCCTGGAGGGAGAAGGCATCCACGTTGCCTCTGTTGAGAATTCCTTCAGCTCTGTGGTGGATGTACAAATAGGAGAGCGGAGGGGAGACCCTGTTATTTCAGCCCTAATTACGCACACGAGTAGGTTGCTAAACGTGGGAGAGATGTACAATCTTCCAGACACCACAAAGTGTCACATTTCAAGTCACCCCAAATGTAAGGGCAGAATTGTGTTTGTGGAAGGGTGATAATGTATTATAACATCTCCAATGCACTATTGTACACCCACGTCAATACACAAACAACAGTGGGGAATGTTTGGGGCTAAGACTCGTTGTCTGTTACCAGGTCGCTGAGAGTCAGTAACGGGCTAGCTACACTGCTAAATAACATGCGAGAGTCGATACACGCCCCACATGGCAACATCTGGTGCCTGCAATGCATCTGGCAGAGGTAAGCCACACACAACGTTGATTGAAGTGAAAATAAATCAGCTAATGGAAGAGGCTATAGACCAACGGTCCACAGGAGGTCTGTGGATTGGTTGCTATGTCACATAATAATATGAGCCCAATATGCCAAGACTCCACTTTCACTACCACCACAAAGAGGAAGGCTCTAGAAGATGCAAGTGTGTATGTGGACCAACAAAAATGCATGTAATGCTTTTTCATGTCATGCCTTACTGCACATGTATATACCTATAATGTCAAGTTCAGCAAGGCGGTTCACTTAGGGGAGATGGATAATGAAAAGCACTTTATAGTGCATAACCTTCGCCAGGGCTATCACGATTACAGGTATCCAGGCAAGCTTCAGTGGCACAGAGGACAGACAGACAGACACACACACACAGACCACACTAACCCTCGCTGCGCACATGAGGGTCAATTTGTACATGACTAATGTTACTCTTCCGTCTCAAGTGGCCAGTGTTTTGATGTGGACCAAAACTCAATAGGACTGTAGCGTATTTTGAGTGGGGCTCTGGCTCAATGCTATACACCAGGCTCACCTATAGAAGTCGTACTAAAGCCTCATGCAGCTAATAGTGCTGCATGAGAGAGCTACAGTCATGGTCCACACACAACTCTGCTTGAGTCTGAGTGTCTGCCAGTAGTGAGTAAAACCTGCCCTCCCCATCACCCCATGTGTGTCCAAGTGTATCAACACTTGGGAAGGCCTTAGAGTTGGGATTTGTCCTTATTTGTCACGCCAACAGGTGGTATCACATAATCATGAGCCACAATGCACAGTGATATATACAATTACAGTCTTGGGATTTGACTTGTGTAACCGGAATATTTGTGGACACTAAACCTCTATAAGGAAATACATGTATGTACACCTTTCCTTCCCACCTTCCAATCCACAAGCAAATGTACATGTACGTATGTAACAGGGTTATATGACAAAATGTCAATTGAAACATTTCAACCTGTCTTTTTCAAATACAATCTAGCTCTGAGCCCAGTTATCAAGGCTAGCCGTTGTCTAACTCTACATGCAAACACAACAGATTGCGTATACACTGGTATATAACAGACCTCTTATAGCAGGCCAGGTCATTGTTGACACAAGCCTTCATGTTCTTGAGAGCATCCAGTGTGGCAAACATGTTGATGAGCTTGGCCAGTGTGAGCAGGTACGTCTCCGAAATGAAGTCCTTTCTCTTTTCCGGGTGAGCCAGCGTGCGGACCTCGTCACAGAACCTTGTCGAGGCACTGAAGACAAATCGCATCATCTCCTTGGCCTTGTTGACTTCTGGACCCAGGATTGAGACTGTCTTCTGGTAGATCTCCATACGATTGGCCTGCTCCTGGTTCTTGATCTGCAGAGAGAGAGAGAGAGAGAGAGAGTAAGAAAGAGAGAGGGACAAAAAGGAGGGAGAAAGGGAGGGTAGGTAGGAGAGAGTGAAAGAAGGGAGTGAGGGAGGAGAGAGGATGGAGGCGGCGGAAAGAGTGCATATACACTCCTTATGAGCAAGGTGTGGCACAGTGTACAACTCAGGCTTCACTAAAATATAGATTCCTGCCTCCCACCGAGTATAATACTTCAGCACCTACTACATGTATGTATGTAACCCATACTGGCGACGAATGAGTGTGCATAAGGAGTTTGCTTTGTGCCTCAAGATAACACACCCAGCAAGGGCCATCTGAAAGACAACTAAATGATAAGAGGAGTTTATCCGTTTCAGGTAGGACTCTAAAGTAAGATGAGGCTGTACAGCGATAATTGATAGGGCATACATAGGCACACACACACACAGTGAACATCCAACATGTTTACATGTTTGGGAGAGTTACAGTACTACTCAGTAGTCAGGATACAGGATAAACACAACTCACGGCAGGCACAGCTCTGGACATGCTCCTCCATGTGTAGAGCAGGGCTGCGTAGGACTCTCCTTCGTCCAGAATGACATTCTGTGGGAGTGGCACCCAGCAAAAACTAATATCACATTCCGTGCACTTTATTTTAAAAAAATCATCTGAACACTTTATTATGGTAACTTGTGAGGTAAAGCGGGTGGAATGCAGGCCTAACAGCAGAGTACAAGTACAGGACCTACAAATGCCTAGCTTCGTGGTCATTTAGTAGCCATTTGTACAGCACCAAAATATGGTGGGGTAAACGCCAGTTGTGCACGCCCATCTCATGCCTCATAGAGTTTTGAACACCCCGTCCCACTCTCGTATCTCCTCCCATGCCTTCATCACGTGTCCCGTGTCCCCACCACCCCCACAGCACGGCTAACTCACTCACCAGGCCAGAGCATATCGTCGCCTCCTCGTTGTACTTGCCGATTCCCGTAATGAAAGCCGTCCGGTCGGCGAAATTCGTGTCGAAGGAGACTTCGTAGACGACTGATGCAGGCTCAGGCTCTATGGTAGGCTGCTCGTCCGGCAGGGCCAGGGCCTCCAGGCAGCGCACGTTTGTGAGGGCGTCTTGCAAGGTCGCCATTTTTGGCTCCGAGCTCGCTTTAGTGCCGCTGAGTTATGCGGAGGTTTACGGACGCGCTTCTATTCGAATTAGTGAGCACCTTAGCTGAGGCTCCCGGCTTTAGCTAGGTGGTCGTCTCTTTTCTGGATTGTCTGACAACAGCAACTTCTGGGGTCTTCAGATAGAGGACAGCTCTCTTTTCAGGTGCGGTAGAAAGATAGCAGCGTTTGCTGTTGCAATACACTGGCAGGTCTGGCAGCTGCACAAGCACAAACATTCTCTTTCCTCCATACCTGCAGGTATCCCAGGGACCGGAGGCTACTTCGAAGCTGCCCAGCGTGCACAGCTATTAGGTGTGTTGGTGACTGTAGCGTCAAAGTTTGCATAATTCCTAGTTACCTTCCAGCTACTGTTTGTGAAACTCCTTGAAATGGTGCAGGTGTATATATATATTCTTGTTTGCTCCAATTCCTTCTAGCATATAAAGCCATGTGGTCTGTGCACTGGTTTAAGGTCCTGGGGAAGATATTAAACCTGTGCACGTCCTGTGCATCTCTTCTGGGTAAAAAAAAACTCATCTGAACACTTTCAACTTCTTTGAGTGCATTGCAAGCCACCTCTTGCTGCACACGTCTATGTTGCACAGTAGTATATGCATGGTAGTACGTATGTAACTGGCCAGCAAAGCGAGCCTACCTAGTTGTTTCAATGGGGAATTTCTATATTTGTTTGTTGTTGGTTTATACCTATCAGTCTGGGTGCTGTCACTACTGTAATGTTCTACGTGATTCTAAAATACGCGTGAAATATTGAACTGGTCGTGCTCGCATTGCTTGCCAACAATGTGTTGTTGCATCTAGTATGTAAGTAAATCGATGGTTGGAGCAGGCAGAAGAGTTGGTTAGTGTGGATGGTATGAGAAATTGGCCTTGTGCTGTGTTGCTATAGAGGAAGAGCATAATTATACACATGTAGCCTTGTTGTCCAGAATGCCTATTATCTCTCTTGGCATGTGTGGATGATGGTGTAAAAGTATGAACCCTCATAGTGTCCTGCCATTGCTTCAGTCCAGCTGTACAGTTTCAAGATACCTTGCTAGTACAAGCAGCTAAGGTATACAAGGCACTGTTGGTATGAGCAGAGTTTTGTACATCTATGGCCGTTGAGTTTGGTAACCATAATCAAAGTATATAGCATGAAATTATAGTTCATAGCATACCAGCCATAGGTATATAGATAGATAGATAGATAGAGAAATAAAAACCACCACCAACAAATATCCCCAAATCCAAAATATATCTATACAAAACACATACACAAATACACATGACATGACATGAGAGCAGGACACTGGGTGCCCAGCCTTGAGAACTGGGACGGTGGGTTAAAGAGCCTTTTATGGCACGCATATGTACGTCTTGGAATTGATGTCCGAAGTGAAATTGTAGTTAGAGGTTAGAGGCGTTGAGGTCCCCAATGTGCAGCGTACCGGCTGGTTAGCACACTTTTGTTGCAGGCCAAGGAAGCAGTAGATTCACCTACATAGTCTGAGGGTGCAGCTGGCTGCTTATTGCTGACTAGCCACTTGTAGCGCCCTTGAATTGCCGAGAACCCCTTGGGCTTGGGCACTCACGTTATCACGCGCTTGAATCCCCCTTCCCCCATTAGAAAGTTATGAAAGGGGCACTGGAGAGTAAAACCACGTGGGAAGGTGTGGACAATCGGAGACCAGAAATGCAGAGTTGACTGTAAATTAAGGGTAAACGCCCCTGTTTCTAGTCATGTATGTATGTGGGGTTGGGGCAGAACTAGGCTAAGCATCCATCTGTGGATGTTTGTTGAGGTAAAAGTGTAGGACCTGAGCTGATTTTTCCTGAAATTGGCCCCTTGTCTTTATAATTATAATGGGTGTGGTCAAAGAACGAGGAGGAACTGTGGGGTCAGTGTTCCCCAAACCAAAAGAGGAACTAATGCCTCCCTCGTGTCTCAGCATCAGCATCAAGTATGCATGCTACATCTATATAGTTTGCGCTGATGCTCAGTTTTGGGTTGTGCATATTAGCATATTTCTAAACATGCATGCACAAATATTACTGTATGGCCACGTTACCTGCCCAGAGTTCACTGTGTTGGGCCATAGAATGTATGGTTCATCTCGGCCACCCATCCCGACACATGGCAGTGATTCTCTTAATAGCCAGCTGACCAGTTTGGCAAACCACTGGCTGCATACAATTTGTCATAGTATAGTGGCTCTGGCCTTGGGTGTCCTCACACATACCACAGTGTTAGAAGGTATTATGCTGTCCATTGGTATAGTGATTCCTCTTGGTTCACTAATAGCCACCTGACCAGTTGTGCAGTAGTGTATCGTAGTATACAATAGTGGTTCTTATATATATGCTTGACACGCAACACCAAGGTTTGACACATACACTCATTTATGGATAGTACTCACTGTATGCATGCATTCTGAGTCTTGTGATTATAATACTTATGACTTCATCCACTTTGTACATACCACCGGGCATCACCTGGTTAACCCTCGGCGCGCATGCGCAGTTCGCCGAGGGTTTGCACTTTAGTGCTCAAATGTGTTCATAAACCATGCTTCATGTATCCCATCCCTATCTTGTCTCCCTTTCTTTTTATACCATCCCTATAATTATGCCTCTTTTTTAAATTCGCAGGATTTTTAATTTACTTGTTATCTTTATGAATGCATGTGTTCAGTATGAAATTTGCGTAAATTCGCAGGCTTTACTTTGTGTGCTTTAAGGGTTAATTACAATACCATAATAATGCTGTAATGAAATGACACACTTACACAAATCAAATGCCTTTGGCACTAATTTTTATCTCAAAGTACGAACCACAGGGATCAGGTGCTATATACAAATGTGCATTCTTCTTTCAACCTTCTAGCGTTCGAGCATCGACTTGTGTGGACTCTACACGTACGTGGGTATGACTAGGAAAACACGTGTGTCTCAATACACTGCCAGCAACAGAGTCATTATGATAGGTTCTGACCCACGTGGACAGTAGAAGCAAGCTCTTTGGCCAAATGGAAGCTGGAACAGCTCTCGTAATTCCCGGAACCCATGTTGACAATTTAACATGGTCCTTGCCTTACATAATGAAACAGCCAAAGTGCTGGTTCATGAATCGTCCCATTGACTTAACAGACATGAAGAACAACCATGTGCCCCTACATGAACCTATGTCCGTTGGTACAATAGAGGAGATGTTGACGTATATTCACTGGATCACAACATGCGTTAGGTACATACATACAGTATCCCTTGACTGAGCTCCAATAGTTGTAACAAACGGCACAGTCAGCATGGCTCTTGTTATTCTGCCTCCTGCTCTTGTTATTCTGCCTCCTGCTTATGTGAAGTTTTTCTATTTCATCTATAAGGTCTGGTGATATAATACCTCTGTACATGGTGAAGTTAAGGTCCAACACAAAATGTGTATATTTTACACTACTTTCACTTTGTAACATACATACAACATGTTATTCTGTGCAACCTGTAGGGGACTCTTTTGCCCAATATGACGGTGCTGTTTGTTTGAATTTTCCACATAAGCCGGCCACTGTCCCATTGTCTTGTTCCTTGTGTTGACAGCTATTAGAGGCAAGTGAGATCCAGGTTTTAACTATTCCACTCACTTGTGCCTCAGTGTCAGTATGAGTTCAGAAGCTTTGGCTTGTGGTTTAACTTATTCAAATATCCTCAAGCCAACATGAGAAATGGTGCAGTATAAGGTGTCTGTATGAAAGTAGTGTTTGAGGGTAGCCAACACTTGTGATTTTCCCCTCTGCACCCACAGCCTACGAAAATAAGTAATTGGCGAGCAAAGCGAGTCTACCTATTTGTCTGAATGTGGGATTTTCCCTATGTGACGGACACGCACAAAGCTGATTCGATTGCGAAAAATTGAACTCGCATTCGCTTGCCAGAAATGTGTTGTATTCATTCTTATAAAGAGGCCTTTGTTTCGTCCTCTGTATGCAGTCACACAAGTGTACAAAAGCATGTAAATAAGAATGCCTCCCTGCTTCATGTTTATAGTCCTCTGACAGGATACAGTACCTTGTAGGGCCAGATTTGGAGGGAATGTTTTCTCTAGTAGGAAGTTGTGGCCAGCCTGCAGGTGAATGTGGGTGCAGTATAACCTTACTACAGCTGTTATGGGGGCTGCCGTCATAGTTGAGATGCCAGCTTCATTAAAGCATTCGCTTCAGTGTCAAGGTATGGGTCATATTAGCGGTATGTCTTTCCAATCAGCTGCAGTTTGGTTGTGTACTCTCGCCACAAGGCCAAAGGTGTCAGCTGATCTTCATGTGTGTACACACATAGATGAACATGTGACTGCTATGCTAAGGTTCCCTCAAAATCAGTATTACACACTACACCTGTACTGGCTAGTCTACATCAATGGACAACTTGTGTCTCACAGTGTGTGTACACCATTGAATTGAAGTGGGAGTATTGAAGGAGGGGAATAGACTGGTTAGTATTGTCCCTATAGTAAATGGCACCAATTCAGCTTCCAATAGCAAGTCTTGGGAAAGAAGTGTCCTCTCTATTGCTCTCTGGCCAGTCCCACCCTAAGACCCTACTCAAGTATTCATGACCCAGACTACCCACTCTCTCAGCTGCTGGCATGCACTCAGGCTGGCCAGCCGACACCCAGGTGACTTCACTGGCAGGCTGACTCAGCGCTATTGCATCATACTTCCTGTTTTGCAATCACCTGAGATCACAACTTGGTTACTGCGGCTTGTAAATCCACACTCGCAACAATACAGCCTTCACAATGCCCAGTTCCCCCCACCAGGAAACATTGTTGGCAAATTTCCTTATCAAGGGGTAAATGCACACTGTTTTTACACACTACAAATCGCTGATGAGAGCTCTCCTACATCTACAGGGAAAGTTGGGGGATGGGATGATGTGATACACTTGGTAAAATACAGACTGAGTGACCAAATCAAGAAAACTACTAGCTAGAAGCACGGCAAAGTCATCTGCTATGAGCAATCGTTTCTGACCTGACTATATAGCTTGTTAGATCACTAACACTGCAAATGGTACAAAACATGTGTGGATGTAGCAAGAGCCTGTCAAATGGGGCAGTGAAAATGATGAGATGTGATTGAATAGAGACTGTGTATAGTGTGTTTTTTTGTCAGCACAATTGAAATCAACGCTGTGGTAGGCAATTTGGGGTGTTATAAGTACTGTAGCAATAATAGCAGGGGCGCAGGTAGGTAGGGAGCGAGACGGGGAAGAAGTGGGGCTGCCGGGAAGGAATTCATGAAGCACATACAGGAGTGACCGGACTGACTCGGGAGTTGTCTCCAGTCGAGATGGGAGTGAATGTGCCGCCTGTGCTTCTCTCTTGGGATCCGCAGGTGGGTGTCGCCGATCGACTGAATGCATCTCCCTCGATCTGGCGGATGGCCCTCACAATGATGTCAAGGTTGTTTCTGGAGTTTGGCCCGGAGTCCACCACCCGTGGCCTTTTGTGCTTGAACTCATCCATGTCTGATTCCGTGTCCTCCTCTTCCTCCTCGTCTTCTTCGGACGGAGAGCGATCTTTGAGCCGAGCCTCGAGCGAAATCCTCCGCGACCGCTCCCTTTCCAGCTCTGCCTTTATGCGATCCACTTCCTTCTGTGTTGCAAAGATCTGCTCCAGCTCTCTGGAGGCTGCCCGCTCATCGTCGAAACAGAGGGGACTGGTAGCCTTGTTCACTTTGCCGTCTTGGGACTCCTGATCCACGGAGCCAGGGTCGCTGTTGGGCCAGTACTTGGAGAGCATCATTCGGAGGGAGGTGTTCTGTTGGAGAAGTCGCTCGCGCTCTTGGTTCAGTCGAAAGATGTGCTCTGCAGCATGCTGGAGCACTGCAGCCTGAAGTGGGGAAACAAAGACCCATTCACAACAGGAATTACAACAGGGCCCATGGACAGTTTGACTACATACCTTGCTCATTTTCTCTCCCTGGAGATGGGGCATCAGGACACGGAGCGTGTGAAAACCGGCGTTGATGCTCTGCATCCGCCTCCTCTCGTTGCAGTTGGCTATCTGTCTCCGCAGCTTCTTGTCCATGGGCTTCTTGGACTGCCCCCCAGAAGGCCCCGGCGATCTACAAGAGAGAACGACAAACCATCGTCAACATGCCGACATCGTGAATAACGACCCAGTAAACATGATAGCTGCTAAGCTTCTTGGCTTTTACTCACTCCTACATTAGCGGCTCAAGGCTCTGTACGCCTTTGGCTAGGAAACACAGTCCCAAAAAGCATTTCGGTGGCTAAACTTAGGCACGTTTCTAACTTCCTTCGTCTCTTGCGCCAGTCCGATTCGCGGACCCGGGCTCCCACAAAACATGTCACGTCACCCCCAAGGGCTTACTGGTCGGAGTCCAGGGCGCTCTCTCCTGGAGAGGTGTCGCCCATGGTCAGCGGTTGTGGGTAAAAGATCATCCCTCTGCTACTTGGGCTGGCGTTGGAGGTGGTGGGGAAAGGGAACGGTCTCATCGCTGGCGGAAGGGGAGGCAGGGAAGGGTAATAACCCGAGAAAGGGTGCGGATCCATTTCTCCGTGACTCTCCCAACGGTTGTCGTCTATAGTCCAAGGCTTTTCACGGGTCTTCCAACCGGTCCTGTAGCTTTTGGGTGGTTGTAGGTGTACCGAGAGTCCAGATCAGCTGACCGACACGCGCGAAGTTGAAGATCCGGTATGTCGCACACACAAAGCCGCCTCTGACACACTCCGAAGTCTTTTCCGCCAACAAAAAGCTTAGCCTAACACAGGGAAGGGGTCACTGAAGGCTACAGATCGGCAGACTAACTTTTCGCGCTCTTTTTGGGAGGTCACAAGGCGTTTGAACAGCTGTAAGCTCCGTAGATTGGCCGAAAAATCGCTCCGCTGGGAAACTGGCGGGCTTTTCCTTCCATAAAAGGCATTATGTTATGAATTCCCGCGTTATCATTGACCAATTGGATCTTACGCAATGTGTTCCCGCCAAAACTTTATGTAACAAGCTAGCTAGCCAGGTATATACGCAGCACATGCCACATATGGTGCATATACGCTATCAGCTGTGGCAGTGTGGACTCATCACTATGTAATGTTCAGCCTAGCTCAGCTGTCCATGCTAAACATTTCCCCATCAAGCACTCAACATTTCCCCCTCTGTTGGTCCATCACTGGTCTTTCAGTGTGGTCCCCTACTAGCCTGGTTGTCTACCATGCTGAGCTTTGTCAACAACACCAGAGCCTCTGGTACACCCTTGAGTCCAGATGTAATGTGAAAGACACAGTCCATTACCATTATTACCCCAGTATACATTAACCTATTTAGACCCTTTGCTTTGGGGTGGTGTATGCACACTGGGGACCACAGGCTGTGGTTTTGTTGTCCACCTCTGAAGCTGCCTTGACTCACTAACACAATCCCTAATTGCCTCTGGGTCAGCCCCCCTGTCTCCCTCTGTCCCCTGTCCTACACCTAGCCTGATAACCTACAAGCCCTGAGGGGAGGCACCCCCTTGTATATATCCTAGGGGGAAGTGTGTAGAAGAGAGTGAGACTCTGGTTTCCCTTTCCCACCCTGCTGGTCATATAACTGTGTGTAGGTGTGTGGGATCAGCTGCCTAGAAAAATCAGCTGTCCAGGGCTGCACCTGAGGTGTGTTTGGTGACTAAGCAAGCATGGTAATTGACTTTGTTAGGGCAGGAATTGGTGGCTACATTCCGTTCTGGAGGGACATGTGAAAACTAACTTTCTAACCACTCCCCCCATAATAGGTGGTACCACAGGAGAGAGACAGTTATCCTATGGCTACCCCCCACAATATTGTCTATGATGGTATGGAGGGATCAGGAGAACATGTTCTATTCACCATAGATACACATCCTTCTGCTAGTATACTGGCTGCTGGGGAAGTCAGTGGAAAAGTTACACTGTAAGTTTATCTCCCTGTGGCCTGATCCACACATAAGAAAGCCTCACACGTCTTTTGTTTTTGTGTCTAGTCTATGTACACAATAGCATTCTGTAGCATGTCTATATGTTACGTCAGTGTAGACTTGTTTGAGGTATGGGTTGTTGCGTTTGATTTGAACCTCTACCTGCTAAGTTGCCCTGGTAGCTCGTGGATTCGAATACCATCCAGGGAAGCCCTTCTTAAAAAAAGAGCTGTTCTGGGCGTATTTTTTACCTCAGTTGTTGAAACTTGCATCATGTTTCTCATTCCTTTGTTATTAATGGTAATTCATGTCCAGGGTAGTAGTTTACAGTGTGTCAGCTGAGCTACATGTCAGGTGTAGTGACACCTGTCCTACCACATCAAAAGTCTGATGTGCTAACTCCCCCTAATTGTTGTCTACTTCCTAAGCTGTTCAGCAGTACTAGTTATAGACATGTATATACCTGCTTGTATTGTTGCTTATTGTACTTGTAGAGAATGGTTTCTATTTAAAGCAGTTGTACCTATTGTAGGTACCTGAGTTTCACCCCCTTTCATTAACAGTTGTATTGCCTGCACTCCTCTGAAAAGGACCATGGTGGGTAACAGACAAATGTCCTCCAACAATGGTACACCTTGTCTTGTTTTGTTCTCCCTCTCACCCAGGATTTCCATCAACATCCACATTGTCAACTAGGGTTGTAGCACATGTGTAGGGAGGAATTTTGTCTGCAGGTGTATCATTGTAAGACATTGTGACCTTCACAATGTGTATGTAGTGTATATAGTGACTTACCCTTGTACTACACTACATTGAGAGGGTTGTCATTTCTAGCAAGTGGTGCCTGATTGACAGTGGAAATTGCACCATATTATTATCCCTGGGAAAAGGGTGGGAAATCTAGTGCTGATTCTTGTACCACAAGTCCCCTTTTGAGTCCTTGGATGCCACAATTTGTAGCTGGAATTTGTCCCCCCTCATCACCTTGCATTCAGTGCAAGATCAGTGGGGTTAAGCTGTAATCCTGCCCTTGTAGGGTGATTTAGTTTTACATTGTCCCACCAGGCAGGTGGATCAGGCCACAATGGAGATGTAATTTCATTCCCTCCCAGATTATGTGCACAGTTAGGGACAGCTGCTTTCCTACCTAATGCAATTTGAACCTAAGTGATCAACTATTGTGTTGTGCTTGCCTAGCTTTGGATATATTTGCACAGTGGATCTCCTCTATAAGGAAATAGGACAGCTCTCTAAATCACTCTCCTCTTGGAAAGTTCAGGCAATTTAAACCTATTATGGACTGTTGTTACCACCATATTGGTGTCTGGAGTATAGTCCACTGTTATTACCTGCAGTCATGAACCATAGATTGGTGTGTCCCCTTCACAAGTTGTGTAGATATTATTTTTGTATACCTGACTGTGGTTGAGTTTGAATAGAGACATAGTTTGAATCCACCACACACCAGTGTGTGGTTAGAGAACTGTAGTCTCTTGGAGGTCACTACTCACAGCTAGCTCTGTTCATGTTCTTGTCAATTATCCTGGAGGGTCCTTCTTGTAGGGGGGCTAACTGTGGTATGATAACAGGCCCTGGTGGTAGGTATGTATGTACATTGTGGCTTGTGGGAGCGCTAGAGGCTACACAGACAGCTGATGGCATGGCCCCCCAGGTGACAGCCACAGCTGACCCTGGCTTCTGTGTTTGTTGAGTGTTAGCACCTCTTTTGGCATCTTGTCCACCCCACCAGGCACTCAGTGTGGGACCCTCTACACACACCCTCTAAGCTGTTTGAGTTGCCAATCTTGACACTAATTGGACATTAGCTAGGTGTCCTTATTTCATAAAACTGTTCTTGGGGAAAGAAACGGGTGTCCTTTCAGGGGTGGTCTTAGAGAGGGACTCCGTTGGTGCTTCAGTTTCACTGGTAGCAGGAGGAAAACATCCGTTGTTCCCCATACACTCACTCAATGCAGCCTCCCAACAGGCACTACTAGGTTTGTGTGGTCTGGTCCTGAGTTGCAACAGGTGAAGAAGGCTCCACTACTAATCATGGGTAGCAATGTGATCCTTAGCAGCTCAGTAAATAAGTATAGTGTGTTGTTGTAGGTGGTACTCTGGCTTGCAAACAGAAGGGGCTCTTGCAGGCGAATGATCATGTGCATGCATAAAGTTCTATTCTCCCTGTTGGATCACTACTTTGGTGTTGTTGTGCAATAATTGGCAGTGTGGCAACAGTGTTCCATATTTACATGCACTGGTTTGGTTGTATGCATACTAATGAGTCCTGCCTTTGGTGTAGCTCTGCTTGCCTTCTTTGCACTAATTGAGATTGGCAGGGGTATCCTCATTAGGTCAATGGCAACCTTGTTTCTATTATCACTTTAGCAGTTCCCTATATTTATGTCTGTATGCCAGTATGGTGGTGTCTTATGGTTTTGTGAGTTCAAAATTTAGCTGTTGCCCAGACTCCTCAGAAGTCCGACTTTAGTTAGGTATATACTTCTCTAGAATACATAGTATTTTCGTGGGAAGACGTGGTGCAACATGAGGGTAATGACTTGAACATGAGATATTTCAGTGTACCATTGCCATAAAGGGGATTCAATGTATGCTGGCTGCTCTGCCAGTCAGAAAATGGGGGCTGGTGGTCCCAATGGAAGGGGACGGCTTTGTTCACATGCACAGTGATGTATGGAGGCTTGTTCAATCAAATCAGGCATGCACACACACTCAGCTGAGGTAAGGTTGTGTGGCAGCAGCTGGGAGACTCAGCTGGGAGACTCAGCTGTGCCTGAAGCTTTATATCAGCCATTATACCCTGCCTCAGAGCAGGTATCATTCTGATGTATGGGTTGGTGGTTGATTTGGGAGACTTGCATGGTTTTAATATTGTATTGGAGCCCACTGTATAGCAGGCCAGCCACACATACCTTTCTATAGCTAAACACAGATAAATTTTGATTTGCCCACCCACCAACAGGTGCCTGTTTTTAGCAGCTTTGGTTTGGTGACAGTTCATCTAGTGGTGTTTGTCTGGTTACGGTTCTTAGCTTGTGGTGGTGATAGTGCAGGATTTCCTCGCCTTCCTCAATGCTGCTGTTGCCATACACAACACACATCATAATAAACATAACACTGATGCTTTTTTATCCCTAATTTTATGTGGGGTATAATGGGTACCATGTGGTAGGTACAATATAGAGCATATACACATTTATACTTTGTGTGTGATAGTATGTGGGAACAATCCTCTCTGTGCTCTGGGGGCAGTAATAAACTGATAAGATAAGCTCTTTGGGAGAGATCTCATTCTATGTGCCAGCAAAAGGAGCTATATATACAAGTTAGCAAATGCTGCATTCCTGGTTCACAAAATCACAATAGTGGCAGAATTTCAATTGGCTAGGTCATTGTGCCCTCAAATGTGGCTATGTACATTAGTAGGGGCAGGTAGGGAGGAGTCATGTATGGTTGTTTTCATAGGGGAAAAAGCAACAATGTGTGGTTAGTTTCTGCCCAGAAGTAGATGGAAGAAGTTTTCTTTAACACTACAACAGGAAGGCTAAGTTCTCATTGCCCCAAATACCCACTGTCCAGTATGTACTGTCCAGTATGTACTGTACCTACATGCAAAAACTCTATGCACTCCTCAGCAAAAGCCATGCTACAGTGTATCTGCTGTACTTAGTTATATATGGATGGGCATCTCATGACCTGGTACCCCACTGAATTCACTGTGTTTCTACATGTCTCTATTCAACCCCTACTAGTAGATACTATGCAATGCTTTGGTTCAATACATGTCTATGCACACTCTACTAGTGTGGTATGAAGTTCAAACCATTATTATGGAGTGTCCCTGTGCACATTGACTCTACAGGTTCGCTATGTGAGTGGACGGACTGTGAGGTTGTGATCAGCAGTATAGCCCACCACCTGGCCACTCTTGCCGAGCTCTGCGAGTTCTCCAGTCGCGGATCCAGTGAGGCATTACGTGCTATCAATATCACTCGCACTCTGCACCATTCAGTCTGTACTGCACTGTCTGGCATGGCCGAAGCATTGGAGCCGTACATACAACCATTCTTGCACACCTCGGGAGAGGAAAGGGTCTGGTGACTGTCTCGGGCGTTTCTCTGGTTGTGCTGACTGACGCTTATGTTTGAGACCTAGTCAGAGTGCAGCGGACCGGGAGTCTCACTTTGAGATTGACTAGCAGTCATTGTGGCACGCGTCCATGAATTCCTCGATATCCCCAAGACAGAAACCAGCCTATTGGTACATGCCATAAGTTGAGTTAGACCCAATAGTCACTAAGTATCCCATTTATTACTGAGAGACGGGTCTGGGCATCATGCACTTTCTCTGTACTTTGTGTTGTTTACAGCAGCACTGATGCACAGGGTACTAATTGCTCAAAACACAGTGCTCGCAAAAAAGAAAATACCTCTCTCTAAATCGCAGAGGACAGTATATACTAAGTGTCTAAACTAGCCCAGGCTCCAGTGTGTATTATCCTCCATTACCCAACTGACTCTCTTATTAGTTATCCTACATTGTCTCCTTCATTCCCTCTTCACTCCTTCTCTCTCCCATCTCTCATCCCTCTGCCCCTGCTACCACAGGGCTGTACTCGGCTAGCATGTAGAACTAGGCTGCACGCTTTGTCACAGACACTGAGACTGGCGACCACATGACCTGGTCTGACATCCGGAAGGCTCACTGGTAAGAGAGAGGAGAGAGGGAGAGGAGGAGAGGAGAGAGGAGAGAGGCGAGAGGTGAGGGAAGTTCCACATAGTAGCCCATCCCTGGTGCCCTAAATCCAAAACCTTTATTGCGCCGATTTATCAGTGTGTGGTAATTAGGTCACTAGAACCGTCTAGGGTGTAGGATCAGACCCTCCAAAGGAGGAGCAATTTTCTGGATACATTATTGATGCAAACACATTTTCCAATAGTGTCGGACGTGCTGTAACGCTGACTTAGGAATATTCCTGCCTGGAAGATTTCTTGGGGGCAGAACATAAGTAAATTTGCCAGAGGCCCAGCACTGAGCCCAGTTGACCACAGTCACTGGTCTGACATCCATCAGAATTGAGTAGAAAAAGGTCATGATATGAGTAACTCCACACTATTGCACACTAGGCTTTTACTTTGTTGTTGTTACACACCTGTGGTTTTGCTGTAGTGTTCTCTAGAGGCTATTGTTGTAGTAAGGAGGCCTTACGAGAGGGGCAATACCAGTACACTGCAGAGGCCAGGGTTTGTGTGAAGTGGACTCTTTCAGGGCTAGATTCCAATGAGCTTTTACGCAATTCCCCTCTGGCTTGCACCACAGCCCTTTCGTATGGACAAGGTCAAAACTGGCATAAATAGGACTGATGTTCTATTTATACTGTGAATAGGGAACTGTGGTGATGATCACATCATTCCCAATGTTTGTGTGGCTCATTACTTGCATTCTTGTATGTCAAACTCTGAACATGAGGCAGCAGCACCTTCTAATGCTAATATTCAGTTACTTGCACAAACAGTCTTGATTCTGTAATACCGGCAGTATATGTGCTTCATTGCCTAGTTCCCAGTCGTTTGTTGTGGATGTGCTCGTGCATGTTATACACTCCACAGCAGAGAAAGACGTGGGACTGTGACTATATACAGGCTGCAAATAGTAATTTGAATGGGACTGTACTAGTTGTCTGGAGATATGTTTTAGTGAATAATTATGGAGGGTTCAAAGGTCTCTTACTGCTATAATATATCGCCCAATCACCATATTACGCTGGGCAGGATGGAACAATGTGGTCTACCTCCATCAACACTTGCTTATCTTACTGGGGTGGCATTCCAGTGCCAGTGTAGCTGGGTCATAGTCACAGTTTTAGTCGCACCAGCAGCAAGGTTTCCTGAGCAGTGTTTCTCCAAGTGATCTCCACTGTCATGACCATGTGTTTGGCTCTCTCCATGGATTGGCTATGGAAACAGCTCTGGTTCCTCCCCTTACCCACGAATCTCAGCATTGACCCACATAGTACATGTACATCTCAAAGGACAGCGTACAGTTTGGCATTGCACTGCGTCCAGAGACGCTCTGTTAGAGAGTGTAGGGCGGGAATTTTAACTTATAACTTGGTCGTTTTTGCCAAAACAATGCATGGATAACATATATTCTGCTCTTAGCCAAGATGTCAGTGCTGTGTTTCCGCTGTTGTTTCGGGTGAACAAATGATCTTTACGGTTTGTAGGACCACTCCCAGTCACTCCACGATGTGTGGATGCTCTCTCCTCTCCTCCTCTCCCCCCCAGCACCCCACTTACAGTCCTGTACAGTATCTCAGAGAGACTGTTAGCCTGGAGATGAATCAGGAGAGTCAAGGTATATACAGAGACATTTCTGTAGCTAATGAGTGCAATCCTCGGCGCACTAGAAATGTCAAACCTTACACATTCATAGTACACTAAATAATAGGCTGCTATGCATTGTCCATTTACTCTCTGCTAGTTAGTACTTTAAACCTTTGCTGCGTATTGCACCGAGGGTTAGTGGAGCACTTGAAGTAATCTTCATCACTGTAGTCACATTACGCCAATCGACATGTAGAGTGGAGTTTGTGGCGCTAGTTTTTCTGACACTATGACAAAAGCAGAATGACATAGGCAATCTGCGTACCAAAAATGTTAGAGAGTGTTGAGAAGCTTTTACATATATACTGGCTGCATTAAAAAAGAAACTATATGTTTTGCACCATTTTATCTTATCCATCCATCGATTGTTTAAGGAAAAATCATAAAATCTAAGGTTGAAAAAAATGGTAATGGAAATCCGAAAGAGATTTATGCTGAGACTTCTTACATGTGCAAAAAACAATACAACTGGATGTTGTGCACCTTTTAAACTTACCCATGAACAAAACTAAGGTTAAAAAAACATAATGGGCCAGCCCTCCATCTCTCCAGGCAGACGTCTACGGACGCAGTGCAATGCCGAACTATACGCTGCCCTTTGAGAAACATGGGTCAGTGGTAGATTCATGGGTAAGGGGAGGAACCAGAGCTGTTCCCAGCCAATGCTCTGGACCACCTGTCAGTTTCAGTGCGGGTCCGGGATTCGAACAGGGCACCTTATGTGACAGTCCCCAAGTCTCTAACCACTTAGCCACTTGGGCTGGCCACGAGAGCTGATGAAAAAACGTTCCTCTTATATCAACACTCACATTACATCATTATTAAAAAACCCACGGGATCGAACCGTGGACCTCACGATCTAGTGTGTGAGTCTTTATCCATCAGACCACACTCAATACATGGGTGGGGAAAGTTCAATTTGTCAATTTGTTTGTCCCAGACTTTTGTCACTAAAGTGCAAACCACCCTCGGCTTAGTAGTAATGTTCACACGTAAGTACACGAATGCATGGTACCACTAATTCATCTATATACTGGGGTATTTTTTACTATACTCATGGTCTCTTGCCAGCTAGCTCGCTGAGAGTCTGTCACATGCTCGCTACACTACTAGATAGCATACGGGAGTCAATACTCACCCTGCATTGCAACTTTCGATGCCTCCAACATATTATGCAGAGCAAGCAGAGGTAAGCCTGTGTGAATTTGCATATTGGCTTTTTCACCTTGGTTTTTACGTCATAACTCTCGAACGCAGTACTTTTATACAAAACTCTCCAAATTTAAAATCAAGCCAGTGTAGCTAGCACTCAAGCTTTTGGTATCGCTCTTTTGTTGTCTCGTTGTGCGTGGCAGAAAGAAACATGATGATAACACACACGCACGAACCAATACCGTAACCCTCGCTGCACATTCGCGCCGAGGGTGAGATGTGAACTAGTTGGTGCTCCCACATTACATAGGAGAAACCAGGATATTTAGGACATGGGACATGGACTGGGGCTTCATATATCGTTGTATATAGGACTAAAACCCTGCTTAAAAACTGACCAAAGAACGAGCGAAAGTCTGTGGTGGCAATCTAGACTCCTAAGGCAGTGGTGCGGCCAATAAGGTTACTGTAAACTGAAACCATAGCACTGGGCCCTATTGTTTCAGTCTCTGTGCCCAAATTTAGCATTCCCTTAAGTTTCTGTTCCTAAGCTCCTCCGCAAGGAATTTACTTTACAATTTTTTTACATCATCGGCTCACTCATTTAGGAGCCCTGGTATCATGGAGTATTTACCCAACAGTAGTACTTAGTATAATTATAGAGATGACACATGTTTTCCAACAATAAGCGCATAAATTTCGTTTTCACTGTAATGCCATAGGTGTGGGACTCTCGAGTGTGGAAGTGTGTGATGTCAGTTCGTGAGTCCAAGGACTTCATTTCAGACATGGCGTGTAATGATGACTCCACCACCCTGCTAGCTACCAGGTGGGATCATGTTGGGGGTCCTTCAATAAGGGAGTGACAGTGGCCAATCTTGCCACTCAGACACAAAGACCCAAGGGAAAATGCATGTGTTTTGAGTATGTAAATATCCTTCTGGAAAGATTTAGTTGATTCTCATGCCTTTGTTTGAGCCCTTACGTCTCTGCTTGTATATCACAAGGCCCTCTACGAGTGTGGAAAACCATTTTCCAATTTTATAACTGCACACTCCATCTATAGTTTAAAAGTATTCAGGCAGTTAGTTTGCTTCTTCCTTCTTCTACAAGCTCACAAAAAGTACGAAAAGTTTCCAACTATAGCCATGGTAATCAAGATGGTTAGTTGGTATCTCATTTTGCCAACGTGCTCACTAAAAAATTTAGACCACCTCATTTTCATAATTCCTGAGGGTGGCCTCTCCTTTTCTCAACATGCTCACTTAAAAGTTAAAGCCACCTTCATTTTCTGCTGAAGGTGGAGTGTACTGCACTTGTCAAGGTAATATACACGTAGTGAGTTGGCCGGTCATTGACTCATCCCCACAAAAATCTTCAGATGTGTACGTATAACTTGTGTCATGCAGTGGTGATGGGACACTCTCGGCCTTTGACCTCCGTCAGAAGAAACTGGAGCAGAGGTCAGACCAATCAGAGAGTGAGCTCCTGTCACTGGCCATCGTTAAGGTGAGGCCATCAACCCTGTCCTCTTTGCCTGGTTCACAATAGCTCGCAACATAATGTAATACACAAAATGTTGCAAACACAATGCTATAGTTGTATGTTCACAAAACAATTTCAAATCGCATCGCGTCGGTAGGTTTCTGTAATATATTATTGTAAATAGGCGAGTTTTAACCTGGTGAACTATGTGAGGTTAGACCAACTCCGGCCCATCAAACAGCATTATATATAGCAGCAGGGTTGTGTTTGAGATTATCCAAATAAGCTATTACACTAATGGATGGCAGACATGGGTAGTGTTTATACAGAGGGAGACATAGTGAAAGTTCCTGGAGCCTCATATGGGTGTGTAGTGAGGGAAAGTTCAATACACAATGTCAGTATATAACATTGTAAGGAGCTGGGTGTCAGTGTTACACACTCCATCCTACACCCACACTCATTGGGCATGGGAGCTGCTAATCATTACCCTCGGCACGCATGCGCAGCGAGAGTTGGTTTGTCTCTGTCGTCGACGCTTATTCTGGCACTACAGGCTACGAGGCGGTCTATTCGCGATACCAGCTGCTTCAGAACTACGCGAGGCTGAAAATCAAAAGGGCGATTTTCCTGAAACGACTGCGTTCGAGAGATAATTATGCCATGAAAACCAGCAATTGCATAATCGCATTGGGCTTACCGCGACTTGATCCGCTCGCTCTGTGTACCTTGGGGGCTCAGGAAGTCACAACGAAGGGCGTGTATCGACTCCCGCATGCTATATACTACTGTAGCTAGCCCGTGTCAGACTCTCCGCAGCTACTAGCGAGTAAACAACGCAGCCCAGCCCATAAATT